CATGCAATCATCTGTGCTCATTTAATTGCAATTGAAGAATTGTTTAAAATGAAACGAAAGCATTTTAAAAATATGCAAAGCATTTTAATGATAATCAATCATTGCTCTCTGACTTAGTTTAAATTTCAATGCTATTTAAAGCAAAAATTTTAATTTTTAACTTAAGTGCTAAAGAACATATCGAGAAAAGCACTTCTCCCAAATGACTTATTGATCATTTCACTTCGCACTTATTTTTTTTTTTTTATTATTTTTTTGTAGGCATTATTCAAACAATAATCATCCATGGAATAAGTTTTTTAAATGATTAAAATTGCTATTGCTAACTTTAATAATTATATTAAATTAAACGAATGATATTAAATAAAAATTAAATTTGTTTAATTTTCGTTTTCTTTTTTAATAACTTTCAAATACAAAGATATTTCAATCATCGACATAGCAATTTAGAGAGTTTCAGAAATATTGAAAATGATCAATGATTAATGATCGACTATTGATTAACTGCAAGCAATTATCAGCGTTTATTCTTTTAACAATTAAACAAGAAATCATCGAAGAAATCAAACCAATTTGTACATTACATGATATTTGATAAAGTAAGAATAGGTAAATAAATCTGAAGTTAAAATCAATTTTTGAATTCCTTATTGGCTCTAGCTCTCTAGTATGTGTTTTTTAAAGATTTAAATTCTTCTAGTCGACTTTAATGTTAGGCATTATTTTAGAATATATTTTGCCTATTTTTGAGATTTTTAAATTTAAAATTTCAAAAAGTTTTGAAGATCTTTTTACAAAATACTTTGCAGATTGCAATTGTGTCATATGCTTTCAAAAATAAAAGCAAATTTGTATTTGCCCCAGGATGAGGAAATTTTGCTACGTGTAGAAGGAATTATTCGTGATTTGCTTTCCAAAGAGCAAAATTCATCAACGCGACAATTAATTCAAACGGTATGTATTTATAGAGAACAGTTTTCAGACTTTTAGTTATTGTAATTTTCTTTCATATTCAAATTTTTTTTTAAAACTAATCCTCATTATGAAACTTTAGCCAACTAAAATGCTTACATTTGTATGCAAACTACTGGATTTCCAGTATGCATGTGAATTATCTCGAGCTGAAACCCGAAACAAGAATGATAAATCGGATGAATTGAAACAAAAAGCGGAGAATGAGATTTGGAATCAGAAGGAATCAACTGTCGAAGGAACAGACAGTAATGCTTCAGAGAAATGCCTGAGAAGTGAAAAGAGAATTAAGTATGTTATTGAATAATGGCCTAATAATCAGATATAAATACTGGCTTAGACAATCATGAATATTGGCCTAAAAATAATTGACTTGAAGGATTGTTTATCGCTTAACAAAAAAATTCGTTCTGTGAATTTATCTTTCTTTTTTAATTTACTGATTTGTTTATATGTTTATACTAGTTATTTTTATTTGATGGTACACTGCTAAAAATTTAACATTTTCAGTGACAAAAACGATGGTCACTTAGATAAGGGTCCTTGGCGTACACATATACAACGTTCCAAAACGGCTATTGTACGACCACAACCGCAAGTTGTTGTCACACAGCGTAGTCCAAGTCCAATGCCACGTAACTTTAGAACTACTGTGGAAGAACGAAAATCACGACTTCCATTAGCTACCACACAAAACAACAGATATTGTAAGTGTTACTGTTTTTATTATTATTATTGTCCACTGATTGATTAAATATCGATTGATTGGTAAGCCACGGAGTTAAATAGTTGGTTAGTAAGCTATGAGTAAGTATATATATATATATATTCTAGAGGTTAAGCAAAGTTCAGCAGCTTCAATTGTGCTATTGATTTGTTATCTAAAGGTAAATATCGATTTTTTTTTCTTTGAAATTGCAGTAGATACAAAACATAAAACAACAACAACAGCATCACCAGCGACATCTTCAGTCAGCAGGACCTTACCATTAACAAGTCGCAGAGGTAGCACTCAGACGACAACCAAATCTTCTCTTTCAACAGGTCGCAGAAGTTCAACAACTTCAGCTGGAAAACCTCCAACTGGTTTAAGTGCTGATAACACAAATGGTTTGTTCATTTGTTTATTTTTTGGCGTAAAATCTCAAAATTGCTTTGGATTTTGTAAAATAATTCAGTTTTAATATCATTGACAGCACGTCGCTCCTCAGCAACTACCGTGATGTCACGTTCGGTGTCATCTTTAAATGGAAAAGTTGGATTAATGCCATCACAATCCACCGACTCAGTCACATTATTTGGCCAAGGGCTTATGAAAGTTCGCAGTTTTTCAAATATAGCCAGGACACCAAGTCATCTGAGTATGAAAGTGAAAAGTATTAATTAAGTGATACATACAGAGACAATCAGTGTTTATGTATTCTCTCGTATGTGTAAACAAATCAATATTTTTTTCTTGGATCTCTTTTGTTAAAAATAGAAATTTAAATTGAGATAAAACCAAAGAATCCTATACTGATTATCTTCTCTAATTATTCCTAAATTCACAGTGTAACAATGGTTAATATTCATTTTAATTATGCATTTGATCATCTGTTAGTTGTTTTACATTCTTATTCAATTAATTTTAATTTTGATAAGTTTCACATTTAAACTTTGATTGGAAAAAGATCACTTTTAGAAAATAATTTCTTTCCAAAATTAAACCTTTGTGAAATAGCACTAATTGATATTAATTAATAGGATTGTATTAACCTCAGTCACTCAATTGTGCAGTACAGGTGTGCCTTTCGACGTAAAAACGTTATGTTAATACGTCGAGTCGAAATGTTTGTAATGTATTTTTTTTAGAAGTGGATCTCAGCACATCATTGAGTACCTTCTTCATTGGTAAACTGTAAATTTAAGTTAATAGTCATTTCCTGATTTGTATAAATAATAATCCTTTTTGAAAAATGTTGATTAGATAAAAAGTGTAGTTATATTCGAGAGAACTTCCCGATTTCACTGATATGGATACAATTTTGATCCTCCCAAAACAGGTATACAGTTCAGGTAGAGAGCATAAATATCTTTGACAGAAATTGGAAAATCACATCGATTGTCATGCAAAATGCCAAATACAAAATTCTTTTCTAATTCAATTAAAAATCATTAAAAGGCCTTAAATTTACCAAATATACCATCGAAAATGACTGAAAAAAGATTGTAACCAATAATTTTAAAGCGGAAAAAGCTAAAATTAACAAGCCAATTCATTTTTGTTTTAGAAATATGTTTGATTTCGTCGATTTATCCCCTGAAGATTAAAAAATTTTTTACTTCATCATTTTCTTACCATTTAAAATTAAAAATTCAAGTTGTTTATAACATTGTGAAGAAAATATATGGACTGAAAATATTACCTCATGGAAAATGCTGAAAAACATCAAAATGTTATTATGGTTTATTGAAAATTCAATTGCAATTCGTATTTTTCTCAAATTCGTTGTGAAAATTAGTTGGAAATGATATCAACTGAATTTTGATTCATATTTTTATCGAATTCGTTGTCCAAATTAGTTGAAAATGATACGAACTGAAAATTTCAAAAGCATTAGAACTTAAATATGCGAAATTTCGTCTCGTCGATTTGCTTAAAGTTAAAAAATTTTGGGAAACATCTTATTGATATTTTAACATTTGAAATTAACACCCACACTTTTTCGACAATAACTTATAGTTACACGTTGCGAAGCTTTCAGAAAGCAATGTAATATCAAATTTTTCTTTACGAATTCATTTCTTGGATTAATAGAATACAAGATTATATCGAAATACAAAACTATATGGTGACATCTAAAATTAAACGGAATACTTTTCCTTTCTTAATAATCACGTATATGCGCAGATTAGAGAGTCTATGAGAGTGTGCACGAAGTAAAACAATTCCGCCTCCATTATTGTCTGCATTGATCTTCTCATCACCGAAACAACTTTATGCGCGAAATGAAAGATAACTTCATCGGTTGGCTTTATTTGACTTATTCTTTTTATTAGAATCTTTTAGCTTTTTACTTTTACTATCGATGTGCAAATTGTTGTATTGTTGGAAGTTGCGTTCAATTGCAATTCAATTTGTTGTTGTGATAGTTAAGTCATCAATAATTTACGTTTATCTGCAATAGTTTTTGATCAAATCTAGTAGGCTCAAGAATTTATACGTACCCACGTAATTATCGACTCTTTTCGCTCCGTAAAGGAAGTGTAGGAATAAAAAACCTTGCATATACAATACAACGATTGTAGAAAGTTTGCGACTGTAAATTGATAGAAGAAGTCTAACGGATAAGTTTTTACCCATGATATTTATACCCGCAATGCTTATACCAACAAACATTTATACCCACAATGCTTATACCTACAAACAATTATACCCGCAATGCTTATACTTACAAACATTTATACCTTTTATACCCATAGCATTAACCCATAATATCTATAACGATAATAGACTAAAGGAATGTGCAAATTAGTAACTACAAAGAAACATACAATACACAGAGAAGGCAACAGTATATAGATAAAGTGGACAAAGCAATTTTTTCTTCGAAAAATAATATTGTAATTGTGAACCTATTAATTGATTAATTATTTAGACCATGAGATAAGCATATGACCATCCTTTAAACTGCTCAGATTCGATTTGATACAGCCAAGTGTTGCAAAAATGCATTCATCGCATACTTTTTTTCTTTTCTTAATAATCACATACATGCACAAATCAGAGTGTCTGTGAGAGTGTGCACTAAGTAAGACAATTCCGCCTCCATTATTACCTGCATGTGATCTCATCACCGAAGCAACTTTATGCGCAAAATGGAAGATAACTTCATTGACTGACTTTATTTGACTTATTCCTTTTCTTATCATTTAACTTTTTACTTTTGTTTTTTACCTTTATTAATGGGCAAATTGTTGTATTGTCAAAGTTACGTTTTAACTGTACTCTTGTATTTGCCGCCTATATCTATGGTTTTTCAGCAAATATGGCGCATGCTGAAGCGTACGGTCCAAATCTGCCAACATTTGCAGATTTGAAGAACCATCTGCGCAAGGAGCCGCTTTACTTCCAGGTATTGGAAGGATATCTGCGAAATACGGCCAAACTGGTATGTTTAATTTTGGTCTTGGATTTATTTATGGTATTATTCATTGAACTCTCTATTAATAATTGGTATGATTTTTCAGATTGAGGATTTGAGGGCGAAGTTGGACAATGAAACGAATGAAGTTCCAACGGCAGACTTGAGAATCCGCCCAAGTACTCCGCCATCTCGGGAACAGATAGAAACGTTCCATCAATCTGTGGAAATCCAGTGCGATCTGGAGCGGGAAGCGGAAAATGAGGACCAGATCGCCCTCCACCTTCTCGAACAACAACAACAAGCTTTAGAGCAAGAGGAAGAACCAGTGCTGGCACTGGTAGACGCTCATGAGAGCTGTGAGGAGGTGGAGGAGATGGCGGAGGAGAGGCAAGTATCGCACGATGAGGAAGGTTACGATGCGGTACCAAGAACGTCTGCGGAAATTCCAGAACGCAGTGAAGCGGAAGGCATTTGCGAAATAGCACTGTAAGTTTGCCTGAGTTTTTGAATCAAAGCAATGAGTTTAGCAAATGTTTGTGTTTAATGAGCAGTTAAGCTTACAAGAAGTAGTTAAAAAAACACTGAAATTTTGATATCTTATAATAAATGTATTTCAGGCGTTCACGGACGATACGGATTCCACAACGTGAGGCAAAGCCAGTAGTGCCGGAAGCCTTTCATGCGCCGGCAGTGCAAGGTTTACCGGCGCGGTACCAACAACTGCTGGTGAGGCCACCGATTGACCCATACGTAGTTATTCGAAATGCTGATGGGTCAACCACAATTTGTAAATTTAAATTTATTTTATTAGTGCATTGAAAAGCTTTATGTGAATGATTTGAACGAGTCTAGTACGAATTTATTTTCAGAGTGTGGAATTTGTCCGAAGGAATTCGGAACTTTGAAGGGATGGCGAATTCACGCCAGCAAGGTGCACAAAAAAAATGGTAAGTTTATCTTCAATCTTTAGTGCTACCTGCTTGAGTATGAGTAATTTTTGAAAGATTTACCTATTAATGTAATATATCTATTTCAGGCTTCTGTCAAAAATGCGGCCATTTCGTCGATATGCCGCATGTTCGCTCTGATGACGAAATTACAGCCATGATGGAGCTACATGCTTTGGAATGGTGCCCTAGGGCCACGAAGGCTGTTATGAATGACAGAGCTATTAAACGACGAAGACTTGAGTTGGTGGGTAGAAACGAAGAGGCCGAGCACTACTATATTCCTAGTAAGTAAAATGTTCCTGTCTAAATGATTCAAATATAAGAAATTATTGAAAAAATTATTTAAAAAATGGGAGATTCATTCAACCTTTATCTTTTTTCAGGTGCACAATAATAATGAAATCTCTACCCAAGCCGCAACTCAATCGATGCACCAATTCAAGAACCATCTCTGTCCAACATCGCTCCACTCAGTCAGTTTTCTTTTCCTTGCGCAGGTAACCTAATTTACTTACTGGTGGACTGATCTAATTTTTTCGTTTTTTTTTTTTTGCTAGTTTTTTGTTATTATGTTAAGTTTTTTTTGTTACTTGGTTACTAATTATTAGATTTTTGAATTGTTACTAATTTTTGATTTTTATTAACTATTGAAAAATCACAATGAAAAATTTGATTGTCGTCCTTCTATTTAGTGAGATTTTTTCGAATTCACTATTCTGCCATTTGTAATTTCGAAAAAATTTCGCTTCTTTTGCACATAGCTTTTGATCCTTGATGCATTAAATTCGAATTTGGCTCTTTAAATTTCTTTATTTCATTGTGATTTTTATTTTTAATTATGTAATTCTACTTTTTTCATGTTTGATTTGTTTATTAATATGTCGAAAGTAAAAAAAAAAGTAAAAAAGTAGAAAAAAATAAAAAATATAAAATATAAACAAAAATAAAATAAAACAAAAAATGAAAAAAAAAAGTAAAAAAAAAAAAAACAAAAAATAAAAAAACAAAAAAAAAAAAAAACAAAAAAAGAAAAAAATCAAAAAAAACGAAAAAAAAAAAAAAAAAAAAATAAGAATAAAAAAATAAAAAAAAAAATAAAAGAATAAAAAAAATAAAAAAATAAAAATGAAAGGATTTAGTGGCATTATTAATGCTTGGCTTGTTGTTTTATTAATTCTTGAATTTTTTTTTTGTTTATGTTACTTATCTTTTTCACAAAATATTTCTTATCCCTATCATATTGTCATGTTTCACTTATGCCGTTAATAATTCTTTCTGGATTTTATTAGTGTTAGTATTCATTTGTTTCTTTTTATTAATTTTTTTGAGTGTTTTTTTATTAATATTCTTTTTTGTAATTATTATTATTCTTTCTACTGTTTTTGTGTGGGGGTCAAGAATCACTGTTATAATTATGCACATAGATTTTTTTCTTTCATATCGGTTGATAATAGTTTTTTGGTCACCAAATTATTTGGATGAAATTTTTTGCTTTTAACTACTAGGTGGTCTGTTTGAATTTAGTTTTCTTTTTATTTCCTTCAGATTGATAGTTTCAGTTTTATTGAATTTAATGCATTTGCACATTGAACAGTACTTGCAGAACTGCAAATTATATTATATTTTTATTTATGAACAGTTTTTTTCATTAAATTTTCTACATTTTTTGATTTTGTTTCTATTTAATGCACGCTTTTCCTGAATTAATTTCGTTTTTGTTGATTGCATCCTAAATTACTTATATTTGTACTCATTGTTTGCCTTTTAACTTTAACTTTTTTTTCATTTCTTTTCTTACTGCATGCATTTTTAGATTTGTCTTGCATGATTTTTATTTTAATCACTTTTTTTTCACTAGCTTATTCTTTATACATTGAATTTTTTATGCTATAATTAATGCTTATGAATTATTATTTTGTTTAACTTCAAATATCATTTCATCATTTCTAATGTATTTGGAATTTTAGCAAGGAACTATAAATTATTTGTGTGGATAGCAGTGCTATGATTTAATCAAGGGGAAAAAAATTACTCAAAACTTGTAAAAAGAAAAAAACGTGTTAAAAAATCAAACCAATATTTTTCGAATTTAACAATTAAGTAGCTTAGAAACTATTTATTATTTCCAGGTTTTCAGTCTATTTTTAAATTAACTTCTTCTAGTCAAAATGAATTAGAAATTATTGCAATTCTCTTATAATAGCGCAATTTGTTTCAAAGAATGTCACAAACTGAAGGAAATATTTTATCATAATGATAATATCTGATAATTATCAGGCATATTTAACAATATGATTTAAATTTAGGAGAAAATGATGATTTTAAATGAAATAACCAAAAAGATTTTTTCATTATTACTTCTACTATTATCTTGCAACAATACTAACATATTTGGTACGATAGTTCGGAAATCATCGTTGCATCATTTGCCGATCATAGAATATGATCATTTTTATCAAATGGAAATGGATAATATTTCGATGTCACAAAATTATTCAATTTTATTGAATAATTCAATGAATAAAAATTCAACAATAGCAAATAATATCATGCAAATGCAATCAGAAGCATTTAAAAATACTTATCAAGAAGTAAAAACTGATTGGATATCACAACGAATTGATAATTTTAATCCAGATGATAAAGGAGAATTCGAACAAGTTTCTTTTTTCACTTTTTTTTTTAAAAAAAAAAGAAGAATATAAATTATAATCATAGAGTATTTGCAAATTATTAAATCATTTTCTTTAATAACTTCCAAATTAATCAATATCATAATTTAAAATGATGAATTTTTTCATTGCTTTATCAATAATTTTAAATTTATTCTATTCCAATTTTAAATCTTACTGTAATATTTTTTAAAGCTCAAATAATTACAGCGTTATATGTCTAATTTGGAATTTCACAATAATTCTGGTTTGGCATTTTTAAAACTTGGTGGCGAGAATGGAATTACTGAATCAATGATTGGTAATGCAATGAATCCATTGCTGATATTGGCTAAGAAATATGGCGCTGCATGTTTTTGTTTAGAACATCGTTTTTTTGGAGCAAGTCAACCATTTGAGTAAGTAATTCATAAAATTTACTAATTACTTTGTCAGTAATTAATTTTTACAGTAAAAAGCTAACATATATTCAAGGAGGAGCAATAATTTTCATTACATTTTAGATTATCCTAAAATTGAAATATGAAATTTCAGAGATCTCTCAATCAAAAGCTATAAATACTTAACAATAAATCAAGCATTAGCTGATATAAAAAATTTCATTGTTCATATGAACGAAGTATTTTTCTCGGGAATAGAAAAACCACGTTGGATACTATTTGGTAGTTCCTATTCTGGTAAGTTAGTTGGTTTTTATTTTTCAGTTTTTTAACAATATGAAATGAAATAAATGGTAAAATTATAAAATATGTTTCGTAGTAACTTTTATCAAATTTTTAAACAGATCAAAAAATTTGAGTACTTTCTTCTTTGAATTAATTCTTTGTATATGAATTTCAGGTGCACTTGCAGCATGGTTTCGTGAAATGAACGAAGATCTTACTATTGCAGCAATTGTATCATCTGGTGTGGTTCAAGCTGAAGTCGATTATTATGGTAAAATTAAACTAATTCAAAAAAAGAAAAATTTACGATCTAATCCTGTTTTTTTTTTTTTTTTTTTGAAGTTTTAGAACTTAGAAAGTATAAAATATTAATTGTTTGGATGAGATTAATTTCGTCTTGTTAAGGTGCAAAAAAGAAAAGAAATATTAATCTAGCTAAAAAATTAAAATAGAATTTTTTTTTTTTTTTTGAAAAAAAGGGAAATTTCAGATCATACCAAAAATTTGGAATATGTATTGAAGGAGGAAAATGCACCGTGTGCTGAAACTATTCGATTGAGTATGAAAGCACTGATTGAAAAAACATATACCGCAGATGGTAGGGCAGAATTAGGAAAGGTTTTTAAGTAAGTTTTTTTTTAATTAAAATTTGTCAATTTAATCTTTAATCTTTTCTTTCCTTTTTCTTTTTGATTTTTTCAAATCTTTGATCGATCCTTTCTCGGTTATTTTATTTTTTTTTTGCTATCAATTTATTTAGATTATTTTAATTTTCGATTCTTTTTTTCTTCTGCAGCATGTGCGAACCATTCACGGAGCCACCAATATCAAAAGATATACAATTTTTTCTTGCAAATATTTTGTCTGTATTTGGTGCTTTTATACAGTATGCAGGAGGATGTGTAAATTTTTTTATTTGTTTTTTTTTTTTTTTTTTCAAGAATTGTTTACAAAATTTTATTTACAAAAGATTTCAGTGAGAGAAAGAATTGATAAAATTGCAGCGACTTCCCGATGTGTCTTATTTTTGTGATCTAATAATACATGACACAGATGGTATTGGGATAATTTGGAATGCCTGGAAAATTCATGATAAAGTATTTCAATCTGAAGAATGCTTTGATCCAAGCTATGAAAACCATTTAGAAGATTTGAGTAATATCAGTTTCGTGGATAATGAATTTGGTTACTTTTATTTGTTTGATTGAAATTCGTATTGTTTTTTTTGAAAAAATTTAAACATCTTTAATTATTTTTTTCTTTTATTGAAAGCAGTAGTAGGTAATAAAAGATTTGACAAATTTCAGAAAGTTAAATCTAAAATTTACACGGAAATACTAATTTCTTTTCTTATTTTGTGAGCTTGATTGCTATGATAATCAATTAATGTTAATTTTTCAAACCAACATAAAAATGATATCACTGATAGGTATTATTAAATTATTTAACATCAGCTAACACAATATTTTTGCTTTCTAATTTGTTGATCATATTTTCTAATACATTGCTTAAATTTATTTTTGTAAAAATCAACTTTTATATTTTCAACTTTAGCATCATATCGTAGTTGGCTATGGCTTTCCTGTACAGAACTTGGCTTTTTCACTACAACAAACAATGGAAAAAGCATATTTGGATCATCTGTATCACTTGAGTAAGATTAATTACTAAAAAAAAAATCCATCAATTTCTTTTTCATCTATTTACGAAGCATTCTTCTTCATAATTATAATATATCTTTGGATACTTTTATTAGTATTTCATTTTTAAGTTAAAAAATATCAAAAATTATTTTTTTTTTTAGTTAAAAAAAAATTTTTTTAAAAATTTATTATTCAATTAAATTAAACATGTTTCAAATTGCAGTTATTTTATCGATAAATGCATGGACGTATTCGATGTGCAGTATGATGCGGAACGTGTTCGTGATGGCGTGCGCAATACATTGCGTACATTTGGAGGTTATGATAATTATAAAGTAGGTTACTGTATTTCTTGGCTACAGTAATCACACAGTATGAATTTTTGTTTTTATCTTATATATTTATGAGAAAATTTCAAGGGTAGCAATACGATATTTGTAACTGGTTCACATGATCCATGGAAATCAGCTTGTTGTTTGAATTGTACTGATGTTACAAGAAATGTTTACTCTTTTATAATTGAAGGTAAAATTTATTTAATTTAAAATTAATTAATCGATTGTTTCATTAACTTAGAGCAAACAAAAAAAAATTCCCACCGATATAAATACCTTGCAACATTTTAAAAATATTTTCTAGTCTTATTTTAAAATTTCAAGAAAATTTTTCTAAATTTTATTGATTTTATTGATTGAATAAGTTAAAATAATTATTTTTTAAGCTTAATTATTGCTAAAAATTTACTATTGTCTATATTAACTGGAAGCTTTTTAGGTGGTTCTCATTGCACTGACTCATGTTCTGTGGATTTCTTCAATTTACCAGCATTAGATGATTATCGAATATTTCTTGATGAAAAAATAGAAATGTTTATTGCGGAAAGCTCTACAACCAATGATAGTTACAATAGCAAAAACAATAATAACAATAACAAAACAATTAAAACAGCGCAACAATAACATTACTTTAAATTTGGAATTAAGTAAGAAATGAATATTTTATTATGTAATATTTTTTGATGTTTGTAACAAAAACTATGATATAATTTAAATTTCATAAATTTCACATTAAAGCCATTTAGGTACGATATTATCATTTACTAATAAATGAATATAAAAGCATATGAATAAAAATAATTTGTAAGCCATTTTCATTTCAGGTTCCATTAACATTCAATTGATTATATTTTAATCTAATTCAATTTATAAATATTAAAAAAAAAATTTGAGGAAATGCCGTCATTGTGTGAAATTTTATTGTAAAATTGAAAAGATGTTTTTTTTTGAAAAAAGCTAATAGCATGAGTCACAGTGCCAGCAGCAAATCGATAATTGATCAGATCATCAATTAAATCTTTATCATAAAATTGAAGAATATGAATCAATCTTGTCTATATGACATAATTCAAAAATGATTAAAATTTAAATCATTTTACAAACATGGCCGAAGTATTCTGTAACAGTTAATGAAAGTTAATCAATTATTGATTAAATTGAGTACTAACTAAAAATAATCACAAATCACTTCCAAAGATAAAGAAGAAAATTTTTTCCAATCAAAAACTTTTTAATTTCAAAAAATTATACAGGAAGAAAAGAATACTTTTTCTGCTCTAAAGAAACTAAATTTTTAACAATGAATGTTCAAAGAAATAAATGAACTTAAATGAAATGACTGAGGCAAATGATTCGTTATCAGTTGTTTCTTATTATTTATGATAAAGTTATTTCCTTGCTAATACGGTAATTTCAGTAAAAATAAAAAGTGTAATTAATAAACGATCATTTCTTTATTGATTTCTGTTAATTTAATACAAAAAAATTAGTTGCAAAAAAAAGTTGGTTTTCTCTTTTTATCTTCCTTTCATGTTTTTATCATATAAATTTGCTCAAAAATATCATTTTTTTTCAAAATAAGTTATGCATATATTATTTAATTATTCGCAATACTTTTTCATATTTTTTTGTAAAAGATTAACTTTGTTTTTGTTTTGATGTGTATTTTAGAGAGAGAAACTTGAATATTAAATGCGATAAATGTTTATTTTAACGAATTATAGACAAAAGAATGATTGAAATAAATCATTTATAGAAAGTTAATTGATTACATTTATCAAAAGGTTATTTAATTAAATTGTTGAAATAATCGAATTATTGATAACTTAATAAATTGCTATTAATAAAATAAAATTGCGATAAACTTAATAAGTGATAATAAGTGATAAAAAAAATGAAATGATGAAAGTAAGTAAGATAATCTAACAGCTTATTTGAGAAAAAATTATTATTATTATTGAAGATTAACTTTTTACATTACATGTGAAACTTACTTATCAAATTCAGCATGCAATCATCTGTGCTCATTTAATTGCAATTGAAGAACTGTTTAAAATGAAACGAAAGCATTTTAAAAATATGCAAAGCATTTTAATGATAATCAATCATTGCTCTCTGACTTAGCTTAAATTTCAGTGCTATTTAAAGCAAAGATTTTAATTTTTAACTTAAGTGCTAAAGAACATATCAAGAAAAGCACTTCTCCCAAATAACTTATTGATCATTTCACTTCGCACTTATTATTTTTTTTATTATTTTTTTGTAGGCATTATTCAAACAATAATCATCCATGGAATAAGTTTTTTAAATGATTAAAATTGCTATTGCTAACTTTAATAATTATATTAAATTAAGCGAATGATATTAAATAAAAATTAAATTTGTTTAATTTTCGTTTTCTTTTTTAATAACTTTTAAATACAAAGATATTTCAATCATCGACATAGCAATTTAGAGAGTTTCAGAAATATTGAAAATGATCAATGATTAATGATCGACTATTGATTAACTGCAAGCAATTATCAGCGTTTATTCTTTTAACAATTAAACAATAAATCATCGAAGAATTCAAAATTTGTACACTTTACTTTACTCTTTCGTAAAGCATTTGAAATAAATTGATAATGTGATAAGCAAATACTAGCAAAATTAATTGATATCACAAATGTTTAATTTTATACAGCAACAATAATCATTTTCCAATCGAATTAATTTTCAAGAAAAAAAAATTAATTTTCACTTATAAATTTAGCATTGAATTAATTACTTAGATATAACATCTGAATATCATTTTTTGTTAATTAAAATATGATTTTTTTTAAAAAAAAGTGTCAGTAAAGTTTTAAAATTATGACTTATAGAAATCATTTATTTATTTTCAATATAAATATATAAAATAGTAGACGGCAATTATTTCAATAATTAGACGACGAATGTTTATTTTTCTTCTTTCTTTATTTTCAGGAAAAAATTTATGTACAGAAAAAGGTTACACAAATTATTATTTGATGCTCTTTCTCTTTTTTTAATGCAATATTTTTCTAAAATTCGAATGAATAATATTTAAACTAAGGAAAACAATAAGATAAGCCTTAGCTTATTTCATGAGCTGAAGAGAGCTAATTATATATATATAAAGAAAGCTAATTATATCTTTAGCTCATAAGGTTAACTTCTGATGACAGCGTTAATGCCTGCCTGATTTACATGTCGTCTAACAATCAGTATTTTAAAGATATGACAATTTGGCGGAATGAAATTTTGCTTCATGAAGTTAACAAAAATATTTTTCAAACGTAAATAAATTAATTTATAGTTGACAAAAAAATACCGATAGCATTTAGTTTGATTAATAGCGATATATTTGAATTTAAAGCTAATTATTTAAATTATAAATTATTTAACTTATAACGAAATAAGAAAAAATAAATGTAAAGCTAATTATTTAAATTATAATGAAATACAGTTTTGTTTCATTCAATACATTTTTACAGTTATTCAAAATTATTCACTAAGCCCAATTAAGTTGAATAATTTTTTTATTTATTTTTTGCAGTTAATTTTCATCTCATTGATTTAGTATTATGTGTTAAATTTTTTTTATTTTCCTTCTATCTTTTTGCATAAATGAAATTTAATTTTACTGAATAATTTTTTTTTTAAAAAATTTGAATCATTTTTAAAATTTTTTTCTTGGAATATTGAATGCTAATTCAAAGATGAAAAATTTACACATTTACATCTTGATTATATTATTTGAATAAAATTACACCAAGTAAATTACATATGCTATATTTTCCCATTGTTTATTTCATATCTATTAATTGTTTCAAAATTTAAAAGTCAAAAAAAAAAAGAAAGAAAATAAATTTTTTATTTCTTCTTTCCACTAAAATTAATTTATTACAAATTCACCAATGAGAAATAAATGAGTTGTTTGTACAATTATTTTGTTCTTTCTTTTTTTTCTCTTCTCTCTTTCTCTTTCCCTTTCTCCCTATTTATCTCTCATTTCCCTCTTCCATTGTTTTTTTTTTTTTTTAAAACTTAAAAGTTGTTTATACGAATGAATGGAAAATTTTTCGCAAGCAAAAGTTTGTTCAGATGTTAAATGGCAGAAATCCGTCAATTCAATTATCATTGCCATCATTATTATTAATATCTTTGCCATTGTTATCATCATCCACTGACAACATTATATACTTGCCATTTCTATCGTTTTTATCATCATCATCCACCAACATCATTACCATCATTATCATTAATATTCTTGCCATTTTTGCCACCATTATTGTCATTACCGACTAACATTACTGTCATCATCATCATTAAATACACTTCCCATTGTTGCCATTATTATCATTATTAACCAGCATCAATATCATTATTATCATCAATATACTTGCCGTTGTCACCATTATTGCCAACATCATCGACCAACATCAATATCATTATTATCATCAATATACTTGCCGTTGTCACCATTATTGCCAACATCATCAACCAACATCAATATCATTATTATCATTAATATAATTGCCGTTGTCACCATTATTGCCAACATCATCAACCAACATCAATATCATTATTATCATTAATATAATTGCCGTTGTCACCATTATTGCCAACATCATCAACCAACATCAATATCATTATTATCATTAATATAATTGCCATTGCTATTACTATTCATATCATCATATCAACATTATTACCGTTATCATCAATATTCTTACTATCAATACTGTTATCACTTTTCTATAATTATTTTCATCACTATTTCATCTCGTCAAGCAATTTGTTGCTTTATCTACCTCATTCATCTAGTCTATCTAGCTTGAAATTGATAAATTGTGCTATATTGTTTACTCATCTATTCCTCTTAGCCTTTAGCAATGCTAATCTTTCACATACACATATAAAAATGTGTGTGTGTGCATGTGTGTGTGTGTGTGTGTACATCTGTGTGGTCTTATAGTAATTCATTTTCAGATCAACATATTGCTGATTGCTATCCGTCATTAGTTTAGTCAACTGATTTTTACTATTTCATATGATCAATTAAAATACCAAGTGAAAAAAAAAAGTTTTAAAAAACAAATTTAATGTTCGACTAAAACTTTTATAAAAATCACATCTTTGAAATATTATTTATATCATAATTAAATCGAATTTATTTATTCATAATAATTTATGAATAGAAAAAAAAAAGATTTTTTCTTTTTTTTCCAGTTTTTAAATTAAAAAATAAAATTTAATTTTTTTTAAAAGTCAGTAATTTTTCCAGTTTTTTTAAATTTAATTCAAAAAAAATATCAATTTTCAATTTTCTCCTCAACTTTTTTAATTTGTTCAACATCTTATATCACTTATTAATCGTTGTTTAATATTAGTATTTGTTGATATTTACCATTTCTCTTATACTTATTGTCAAATTTGAAGTGAATTTTAAGAGAAACATTGAATGATTACTATGTTTAGCTATTTGAAAAACTCATCTTTGATAAAGAAAGAAAATATTTTGATTTAAATCAATTTTTTTTTTCCATCATTTTTTCCACATTTATTTCTTTTTTCTCTTCTTCTGGAACTAAAATTTCCCCAACCTATTTACTGATACTTTTAAATTAGATGAAGCATTTCTTAAGCCATTTATTAAATGATAAAAACAACAAATTGAAGAAATCTCTTTAAAATGCAAATGAAACGATGAAAAAATTAAAACAAATTAAAATATATTTTATTTTCAATTTCAATAATTCAGGAGGTTAATTTTAAGCTTCAAAATAAAGTGAATAATTTTAATTTTTTTTTTTTTTTTTTTTTTGCGAACATTATTTTTGATATCTTGGGATACTTTTGAGCTTATAATACTATATGCCACTGTTTGTTACTTGTAAATCAAAATTGAAATGTCTGAGATAGATTTAATAATGAAATTAATTAGTCAATAAAATTTGAATTTCATTTCAATCAACTTAGATAAAACTGTTATATTTATCGAATTTCATTAAGATTTGGGTGATAATAGATATTGAAATATATAATAATATAGAATCCATTACTAATCATTACTGATTAAATCATATCATCATTGAAATAGCTCTAAATTCAAAGAAAATAAGAATTTAAATAAGCTACATCCATGTAATGAAGTATTATATTAAATGATCAATTAATTGACTAACTGAATAGTTTACAAATTTTTATTGCAATATGCAAATATCAATATGCAAAAACATGTATATTAATTGATTTCCTAAAGAAAAGTTATGTTCTTTGTTCCTTATTTTAAATTCCTTATTTAAATTTGAAATTCTCTATTGGCTAAATTACAGAATTGCTCAAAAAAATTGCTTCAATTTTTGATTAACAATTAATTAGCTAATTAATTACCAGTGCAAAAGATTAATAACAAATACGCAAACGATAATTTTGATAAATAAAAATTTTAAATAAATTTTAATTTTCTGAGTGAATCGAATTTGTAAATATCAACAAATTTTATTTTGCATAATTATTATTTTATACTCTTTGAATATTTCCTATAAACATGAAATTATGTATTATTTTGTAGATTAATTTCTATTATAAGTTTTCCTATTACAATTAATAAATTATATAGTTTTGTTGGTGTAAATAAGACATTTTTTAATGTTTAGTCTAATTTTCATTCCGATCAGATATTGTTTCCGGAAATATACATTCATTAATAAGTTATGAAGCTGAAAAAGTTACAATTATTAATGAGTGGAATTTGTTAATTGTAATAAATTATTTCTGATAATTAATAAAATTTATTTTAATTGAGAAATAAACTTATGATAACAGATAGTAATTTCTTCTCAATGCATTAATTGTTTGTTTGTTTGTTTATTTATTTATTTCAATTAAAAGAAAATCGAACAAAATTCATTTTTAACTGTAAACGATAGCAAAAAAAAAAAGAAATCTTTTCTTTTGTTTATTATTTATTGTTGTTTGTTATTTACTTTCCTCATTTTACATTTTTTTTTTTTTTTCACCTAATGCAATATCTATTATAAAATATTAAATTTAATAAATTTTGAATAAATCTGATAAAATTTTTCGGATAAATTTTGTATATTACTGTAAGCTTTTGTTTTTGTTATTTTGAAAATGTTATCATGTGCTTAAATTTATATTTGTTAATAAATACTGAACAAAACTTTTTGATGCAATAAGCAATTTTATATAAATGAAATTAATAAATATTTACAATATAATTTGTAACTTATTAAATGGAATTTTAATTAATATAAATGACAATTAATACAAAACGACGATAAATTAGTGATCGAGTAAATTGGCAAAGATTAAAGATAAATTTAGTAACATACTAATGATAAGTTATTATCATTGATTCTATCAAAAGTAAGAAGCAGTAAGCTGATAAGTAAAAAATAGAAGTAAAAAAAAATTCAAAGGATAAAAAGATTTTAATATATTAGAATTTGTAAAATATATTAGAAATAATTTTTTACTTCCCTGTAATCAAAAATATTGAATTTTGAAAAGTATTAAAATTTTTAGATTAATAATTCTAACAATTAAATGAAATAGGCTAGACACATGTGATGCAATAAATTTAACATTTTCATTTCAGATTTATAGCTACAAAAAAAAAAAAAAAAAAAATGTTCTTGAAGAATTTTTTAAATTTTAATTTGGTTTACTAATTGTTTTTATTTTCGTTAAAGCAGTAAAATTAATTTTAAATCTTATATTACTTCTAATTTCACCAAAAAATCACTCATTTTACTTATTCATGCTAATAGAAAGATAAAAATAATTAGTCGTTAGTGAGCTCAAAATAGAAATCCAAAAATTCTCCAATTAATTGGAAAATAATTTAAAATTAAATTTCATTTTGAAATATATGTCAAGGCTTATTTTGTCAACAAATTTATTTCATTTAAAAATTAAAAATGAAAATTTTAAAAATAAATGAATTGAAAGAAAGAAAGAAATTTCTTATATAATCGCATTTGGAACTGTGATTAAATTAATTTTAATATTAAAATATATTTATAATCATTCATAAATGCGAGTTTAATAAATTTCTACATTAAAAGTTTGCTTCAAAGTTAATTTTTAAAACTTTTTTTTTGCATATCAATTAACTTTATTATTTTAAAATTAAATTTAAAATTTATTATATTTAAATTTATTTTAAATCTTACAACCAAAAATTCTCCAATTACTTGGAAAATAATTTAAAATTAAATTTTATTTTGAAATATATGTCAGGGCTTATTTTGTCAACAAATTTATTCTGTCTAAAAAATAAAAAATGAAAAATTACTTATTACAATTGTTAGCATTATAATAAAGTAAATTCTTTTTCATTTAATTTCTATTCTTATCATTTCTATACTTAAATTTTTAAATGTAAAATTTATTTTAAACACAATCTTTGGTCATTAAAATTTAATATAAAAGCTTCCTTACATTGTATAGTTAAAAACTTTTTTTTTAAAAAAAAAAAAAGAAATCTTCTAGAAGTTCCTCATTAATATCTTTTTGTTTCGTGTAATTATTTGTATCCATCTATCAAAGAGAGAAAGAGAGAGAGAGGGGTAGACAGACAGACAGAGAGAGAGAGAGAGAGGGAAGAAAAATGAGTGAAAAAGAAATCGATAAGTTTTATTTCAATTTTCATCCTTATTTTCTTTCATTTTCAAAAATAATTGTCCAGTAGTATACACACATTCCTTCGTTTCATTTCCGACAGTATACTGTCACATTTCTGATAATATCTTGTCAACTTGTCAACCTGATAAATTGTTGACAGAAGATAATTTCCACTATGTTTTTTTTTTTTAAAGAGTTGAATCATATCAAATATAAATTTCCTTTTTTTTTTAGTTTTATTATTTGTTAAATTCTAACTTTTTGCAGCAATATATTTTTGATCAAATAAATTTCGTTTTTTTTTTTTTTTTTTTGTTTTCAAATTTATTTTTAATTTTAATTAAATTTTATTTTTTTGTTACAGTTGAAATGAAGGTTGAATGTCCACAAGCATTTACATGGGAATGTGATGAATTAAATTGTTGTGAGAGTTATCACTTCCGTGTAATTTTACTTTTTATTGCAATTGGCATATTTTTAACAGCACTTTTGGTTGCTGCTATTTGGTTAACATATGAATTTAGGATTTCTTACAGGTAATTTTATCAAATTTGTTTTTTTCTTTTTTTTTTTAAAAAAAAAAAAACTTTCTTTATTATTTAAAATATTACTCATAAAATTTTTTCAAATAATAATTTTATTTTTTTAAAATAAATTTTATCATATCTTTTTTTTTTTTGGTTTTCATTCGTTTATTTTATTTGGTATTAAACTATTATTTTGAAAATTATCATCTTTTTCTAAAATTTATCAAATTTTTTTTTTTTAAAAAAAAACTTTCTTTAATATTTAAAATATTACTCATAAAATTTTTTCAAATAATAATTTCATTTTTTTTTTTTAAATAATTTTAGCCGTTTTTTTTCTTTTCATTCTCTTATTTTATTTGATATTAAACGATCATTTTTCAAGTTATTTTCTTTCTCGAAAAAAATTTTTTTTTTTCGTGAAATTAAAATTTTTTTTTTCTTTGATTAAATTTATTCAAACAATTTATCTATGTAATGAATTAGCAATTGTTAAATGTTACAAGTTTTTATGATCAAAAAAGTGATCCGTTTGTAAAGTTTACAGTTTACTCTTTTTTAGTATGACAAATTAGCATAAGATGTTGATTTAAAGTGTTAAAAAATAAAAACATTCAATCAAATTTCACAGAAACAAGAAAAAAAATTTTTTTTATTTAATTTTTGCAACTATAATTTCTAATAAAAATATTTGAGATACTATTTTAATAGCAAATTAGTTTCAAATTATTAAATTTTAAATTGAAATTAATTTCAAATAATTGAAGAAGGAAGCGTTTACAAGAGATGGATCAATTTCGGAACGAAGTTGAAATGCGAAGTTTTGAGGAAACGAAATATTTGCGACGAATGTCACAAAACAAGTTTGTTTAATAAATTTAAAAATTTTTTTTGTAATTTTTTTTTTCTCACTTTTGTTCATTCAGATACTTTATTCACTCAAATTTTGCTTATAATAGATGAAATTAATAAAAGAAAAAATTAAATTAAAATTTTAAAAAATTAAAAATTTCGGATTTAAGTAACAGTAATTGATTTTTTTTCTTACCATTAGAAGATATTAAAGAAAAAATTTCCTGTAAAATCAAAATTAAAATTTTACATAATGTTTGTTCAATAATTTGAAATGATAATTTAAAAGATAAAAGTAAACTATGATAAGTAAGTACTATTCAACATTTGATATGAAAGTAGTTATGAAAATAATTTGTTATAAAAATATTTTTGTTGGATGAAAAAGAAATAATTAATAATAATCTATGAAATTTAACTGATTATTGATAAATGAAGTAATGGAAGGAAGGATTTTAAAATTTTTAAAATGACTTTAAAATTAGCAAAAATTGAAAGAATTTGAATATTAGAATGGAAAATTTTTATTTTCCATTCTTTCAAATGAAACAAATATGCATTTTATCGATTTCAAATTATTTTTTTGCAGTTATTTCAAGAAATGAAAATTTTTTGCCATTTTCTTATTTCCTATTAAACGTTAAAGCAATTTTTACTAGCACCAAATGGATGACATTTTATTTTTTTTTTTAGCAAAAAAAATAAAATTTTTTTCTCTTTTTTAAATTTTATTCTTTCATTAATTTCAAAAATAAACTCACCGTATTAATTTACTATTAAAAGTTTTTTTTTTTAAATTTTATTTCGTTATCTAATAATTATAATATAATTTCTTAGTTTTGAAAAAATAATATGAAACAAAAAAAAAAAAGTACAGTATGAAATTAAAAAAAAAAAGAAATAGATCAACTAATAAAATATATAATTTAACAGTATGCATCAATAAAATTATTCCAATTAATTAATCAATTAATTAATTAATATTTGTTTGTTTTTTCTTTTATTTCATTTAGTTTCACCAAAAGTTACAATGAAAAAGGACGCAGATTACAGTGCTAAATATGAAGCTAATAAATGTCAAATGGTAATTACTGAAATTATCACAATTGATTCATCGCAACAATTAAAAATTTATTTTTTGTTTTTTTTTTTTTTTTTTTTTTTTTTAAAATTTTTTTAAAATTTTTTCATCACAATAATTAAAAATTTATTTTTTGTTTTTTTTTTTTTGTTTAAAATTTTATTCTTGAAATTATTTATTTTATAATATTAATTTTTAAAATGAAATAATCAGATAATATTGTTAAATTATTAACATATTTTGGTTTTTCTCTTCTTTTTTTTTCTTTTTCTAATTTTAATGATAAATTATCTTAATTTTATCATTGATCATTAGTCTACCATGAAATATTTCACTGTCAGTTTTACTATTAAATATAAATTAATTTAATTTCAAATTTACAATAATTTGATAATTTTTTTAAGAGAAGTAAATTTTTTGTACTTTATTAGTCAAAATGCATGTTTATTAGCATGTAAGAAGATTTCAACGTTATCATTTTATCATATCAAAATGTCATGTGTCACTGATATGTGTCGCATTTATCACTGTATTGTTATGTTTATCACATGCATACATATATATATGTAATTGCTTATCTTTTTTTTTTTTAAATTAAAATTTTAATTTTCTTTTATTGTTTTGTAATAAACGTGCATGACGTGTCCATCTATAGTTGCATGTTTGCATGCTATCATGCATTCGTATCATTGTGTTAATAATTTTGTGATAATAAAATTATATTTTTATTTTTTTTTTTTTAAAAAAATGCAATGAATATTGTTGATTGATTGATTGACAAAATATTTGAAACATTCATTTCATCAATTTATTTGCAAAAAAAAAAAAAAAAAAAAAAAAAAAAATTAAAATTAAAAGTTATTTTTAATTTATTTGATAACAATTATCAATATCAGTTAATAGTTACCAATATCAGTTATAATGAATATCAGTTAACAATTATCAATATCAGTTATAGTGAATATCAGTTAACAATTATCAATATCAGTTATAGTGAATATCAGTTAACAATTATCAGTATCAGTTATGGCCAATATCAGTTAACACTTATCAATATCAGTTAAAATGAATATCAGTTATAGTAAATATCAGTTAACAATTATCAGTATCAGTTATGGCCAATATCAGTTAACAATTATCAGTATCAGTTAACAGTTACCAATATCAGTTATAGTGAATATCAATTATCAATATCAGTTAACAATTACCAATATCAGTTGTAATCAATATCAGTTATAAATGATAACAATTATCAGTTACAATCAATTAGCAATATAATTTTCCTTGCCAGTACATTATCACAATCACAACGCTACATAAATACAATTCCATATAGATTGTTCCCGAATTTTCTTTCAAATTTCCTACTGCTATTTTCTAATTTATTATATTTTCAATGAGTGATAGTGATAATAAGACTTATCAACGATGAATTAATGATATGATTATTTTCATTCCTAAATATTTTAATTTTTTTTGTAAAATACCAACAAATAAGTAATATTTTTCTCTAAATTTAATAATGCAACAAAAGGAACGAATTAAAATTCTAAATTGTAAATGAAAGGAATGTTTCTTTCATAATTTCATATTTAATTTGCCAAATTGATAAAATTTCCTAATTTCATTATCAAATGTTGAAATTTCATCTTTCATAGATTAAATTTACTTCTATCAATTAAATAATCCTACAAAAAATTTCTTTTTGCTAACAAATGAAAGCATTTTTTATTACTTCAAGTAAAAATGGAAAAATTTTAAATTGTTTGAAGAAGAAAAGAAACTAATTTAAATATAAAAATGTAAAACAAAATGATTTAAAATGATAAGTATACGATGATAACTTAGAATTAGAAATTTTAAATTGAAATTCATGTTTGAAGAAAACAAAAAAGAAATTAATTTAAATATAAAAATGTAAAACAAAATGATTTAAAATGTCAAGTATACGATGATAACTTAGAATTACAGAGAGAGAGAGAGATAATAATTATAATTTAATCAAAAGCTTTCATTATTTCAGACATAAATATCCATCACATTTTTCATCCGATTACTAAAAATTATTTGTGATTTCAATGGTTTCAATGCAAAAATTTTTGCAAAATTTGAGGTATTATTCAAACTTTCACTATTTTATCAACTTTATCTTACTAAAATTATCAATAAATGTTAAAAAAAAAGATTTTTTTCCTGCTAAATTCAAAAAACAAAAATATTTAGAAAAAAAATTAAATTTTTACCTGTTAATAATAATAACATTTAATTATTAAATATTATTATAAAAGTGATAATAGTAGTGATAATACTGATAATATTAACTTAGCATTTTATTCACTTATCATTTACTATCACAAATGAAGAATGAAACACTATCAGGGAGATTATTGTAATAAATTAATTATTACAAATTATATGCATGCATAAAAATGAAATATGCAAATTAACAAATGTAATTTAGAAATTGAATTAAGCGCTGTTATCATTGCTAATCAGTATTATCAGTACTGTTAGTAAATACTAATAATCATTCATTGAATTAAAAAAATTAAATTAGAAAAAAAAGAATGAAAATTTTGTATTGAAATTTTTTTTTTTTGCATTTTATTAGATTAATGTTTTCTAAAATTTGTTATTTATCTTTTTGATTTTTGTTATCTAAATAATATTATTTGGATTAAACGAAAAAAAAAAACGATTTCAAATAGACAAAATTAAAGTTTTTTTTTTTTCAATTGAATGTCTGTAATTTCGAAACATCAAATCAAAAATTCAAAAAAAAAAAAAATTCGAAAATTGAAAAATTCATTGCACTGGTTATTATTTCAATAAAATTGCATTTGTTTAGGAAATTTTAATATATATATACTGATTTAAATTAAAATTTGAGACAAATTTGGTTTGCAAATTGTTGCTGAAATTAAAATTTGCATAAAATTTTGAATGATTTAAATTTCAGTTTCGCAAAATATGGAATAAAGCGAAATCGCTAATGGCTTTCGCAGTTTCTTCATCATTTGAAAATCAAAAATTTTTTTTTCCATTTCGATATTTTATAATCCAATTTGTATTCGATTTTTGCTTTTCTTATTTTCCATCTTTTATTTTATACTTTCGCAAAGAGAAAAAAAAAAAAAAAGGAAAGCCAAAAAATTAATTCAATTTTTTAAAAAAAATAAAAAAGAAATTATTTTTATCAATAGTAACTGTAATTTATGTTATTGAATTTTTGATAAAATTATCTTAAATTTATTGAAAATTTTATCATTTATCAATAAACTAGAATTGTTTTGTCATTTTTTTGATATGATTTCCATTCGAAATTATTCATTTGGCTATTTTATTAATTTCGCATAATGCAAAGAGATCAAACAAAAAAATTTTTTTTTCTTATCAGTACTTAACATTTCTTATCAATAATACTTAGTATATGATTCATTTGCTTCTAATCTGATTTAGATCAAAAAAAAAAATTTTTTTTTTCTTTTCAAAAATAAACAAAGAAAGATGAAATTTGAACATTGAAATTGATCTCTTTCATTCATTTCTTTCATTTAAATTGTAAATCAAATTGATAAGATAATTTTGTAAGCTAAATTAATTTTTTGTTTCAAATAATTGAATGCATTTTTGATTCTTACAATTAAATGAATTATCTTTTAATTGTAATAAATATACTTAAATAAATAAAATGAATAACATATTTATCAGTGGATATTATCAGTTTATCAGTCAATTAACAGTGAAAGTAGCAATATCATTTCAATGTTAATTTTTAATTGATAACAATTTAACTTTCCTTTTTCTCTTACAGAAACAAATATTTGAAAGTTTAATCTCGACAACTATCATTATTAATCTTACTTTAAACCGATTTAAATTAATATTTTGCGTATACGTTTACGTGTATGTGTGTGTATGTATGTGTGCATGTGTCTGTCTGTATGTGTGTATGTGTCTGTCTGTATGTGTGTATGTGTGGTACACTAAATGACAGATAATAAGCTAAATGAGTTGAAGAAGCTGGAATTTGATCGATTACAACATTAAAATAGATTGAAGCAGTAAATTTTTCTCTCCCATTAAAATAGATAAGAAAATAAGCAGAGAAAAATAAAGAGAGGAAGAGAAAGAGAGAGAAAGGGAGAGGGAGAGAGAGTGAAAGAAGTAATAGAAAAGTTGAAATATCATCAAAATTAGTTTAAATATATGTTCCGTTTTGTTGCTGTTCCACTGCATCAGTGCTGATAATTAAATTTAAACTTCTATGATAGAGAGAAGAGATAAAAAAAGACAGATAAAAGATAAGATTAGAAGAGATGGAAATAGCAGTTATAGCAAGGAGAGAGAGAGAGAGAGAGTTAATCTTTCACAAATGTCATAGGTTGAAATATCTATCATCCATATCTTATAGCAAATTTTAAAACAACAAAAACTTTTTAGCAATTAGCTTTAGTTGCAGCTGCAGTTGCAGTTGAAATTAGAATTGCAGTTGAAGTTGGAGTTGCAATTGCAGTTTCAGGTGTAGCATAGTTCTTGAACCTTATATTCTCCCATTTCTTCTTGCAGTTGGAATTGCAGTTGAAGCTGGAGTTGCAGTTAGAATTGCAGTTGAAGCTGGAGTTGCAGTTAAACTTGCAGTTGCAATTGCAGTTTCAGGTGTAGCATAGTTCTTGAACCTTATATTCTCCCATTTCTTCTTGCAGTTGGAATTGCAGTTGAAGCTGGAGTTGCAGTTAGAATTGCAGTTGCAATTGCAGTTTCAGGTGTAGCATAGTTCTTGAACCTTATATTCTCCCATTTCTTCTTGCAGTTAGAATTGCAGTTGCAATTGCAGTTTCAGGTGTAGCATAGTTCTTGAACCTTATATTCTTCCATTTCTTCTTGCAGTTAGAATTGCGGTTGAAGCTGGAGTTGCAGTTAGAATTGCAGTTGAAGCTGGAGTTGCAGTTAAACTTGCAGTTGCAATTGCAGTTTCAGGTGTAGCATAGTTCTTGAACCTTATATTCTTCCATTTCTTCTTGCAGTTAGAATTGCAGTTTCAGGTGTAGCGTACTTGTTGAACCATACATTCTCCCATTTTCTCTTGCAGCTCGTGTTGCAGTTGGTATTGCAGTTGCAGTTGCAGGTGAAGCATAATGATTTGAACCCTACATCCTCCCATTTCCTCTTCCTCATCCCATCCTTCTTCTTCCTCTTCCATTGCCCCAACAGCTTCTTTAAGGTGAGCAAGCCATCATCGACTGATCTCATCTGATCACTAACAGTTTGGACTGATATTAACTGCTTGGCCCATCCCTGGAAGGAATACTTCAAAAGATTGATACTTTGCAAAAGGAAATTGGTTAGTTACTATTTAGCAAATTGCTTTTTTTTTAATTAATTACTTAAAATTGTATTAAGTAAGTCTAAAATTTGAGCATTCCAAATCAAATTAAATTATTGTTAAATGATAATTTCATTGATTGATAGACAATCTTATCTGTAAAACTTGTTAATACTTTTCAAAACGATCTGTTCATAAATTTTATATGATCGGAAATAATTCGAATTTGAAATTAATAACTAAATATGAAATGAAATTAAATATGAAATGATACAATGTTGTAGTTAACAAATGGATATGAAATGATCCGAATTTGTAGTTAATAATATGATTTTAATATATAATTACTTAAAAACATTAAACAATTTTTTTTTTTTTAAACCACAAATTTTGGTTCCAAGAATTTTTGACATTATTTTTGATTTTAGAATTCAATGAATAAAAACTACAAAGAATTATGCTTTATGAAATTAAAAAAAAAAAAAATAGAAAACAGAATAAAGTAAAAGTGCTTTTGTGGTGAATAAAATGTGAAAAGAAAAAAAAAAATGAATGAGAAAATATGAAAAAATAAACAAACAAACAAATAAACAAAACAAAGTGAAATATACATAAATAATCTTTCGTTAGTAATATGTACAAAATATTAAAGCAATAAAAGAAATTACAACTTTGAATTACAAATTTTTAATTTATCACAACTAAGCATACTTTTATCAAATTAAAAAAGTAATGAAATTTGTTAATGGAAATAAAATTCTATTATAATTAACAGATTTTTGCTAAAAATAAATTCGGGAATGAAATATGACTGATAGTTTTTCTGATTTTATTTCATTTTTTTCAAAAAAAAAAAATTGTTAAAATTTAAAATTATTCTTTAATTTTACAAGACAATCTTTATATTAAGTTTAAAATTTAAATAATTTTTTGTGCAAAAGTCTCAAAATCATTTTTCCTAATAATTTAGAAGGAAATTTCTACCTGTATTGAAATATAATCATTTGAAAATGACGCCGATAAAATGATAACAATTATAGTATTATGAATTTTTTTTTAAAGAATATTATGATAAAGTTTAATTATCAGCAAAAAATTTATGAGAAATTTATGAGCAAAAATTATTAAATTGTTTTTTTTTTTTTTTTAATAAAAAACGTTTTGAAGAAAAATTTTTATTTTTTCCGGTAGTTTAATTTCTTTGTAAATTTTAATCGTTCATTCTTTTCCTCAGATTTTCAAAATATATAAATTTTTTTATGATTATTAATAAATAATACTATAATATCAATTTTTAGCACATTTATTGGATGCTGTTTGGTTGACGAATAAATTTTGGAAAAATAATTTCTAGAATTCTTCTCTCCAATTGAGTTAGTTTTTTTTCTTTAAAATGATTTCATTAAAATTTTGCAGATGTATTTTTGAGGATAAAAGAAAAAAAAAAAGAAATAGAAAAGCATTTTCTTAGCACAAAATAATTTGAAATTGAAAATTAAAAAAGTGCAATATAAATCAAAACAAAAAACAAAAAAAAAATCTCTTATCTTAAATGATATTTTACTAAATTTCAAAATATTTTGTAGAATAAATTAAATTTATCAAAATAACATACCTATGAATTGATTTCAAATAATATTTTGTTTATACAATAATAAAATTTATTTTAATTATATCATTTTTTTTTTTTGTTGCCTGAATTCATTCACTAACTTTTAAACTCACTAATTTCATCCAAATGATCAGCAAAAAATTTCAAAAATTTGAAATTTTTTAACATTTTTTTTTTTTTTTTTTGTAGAAAATTTTACAGTTTATTTTAATTTTAAGTAATGTGTTTTATTTTTAGGTTTTAATAATAATAATTTAAGTTTTAATAATAATTTTAAGTCTTAATAATATTAAATAAGTTTTAAATTATCGATAAATGTTTACATCATATAATTTAAATTGAATTTCATACTAATTTTCATATTAGCTAATTAATAGACTACAAAATCTTACAAAATATCATCGAGTATTTCAAATATTTGCGATTGTTTTTTTTTTTTTTTTTCTTTTTTTAAAGTATCAAATTTTTGCTGTCATTCATATTTCGATAGAATGTTTAGGACAAATTTATCATTTAATAGCATTTCAAGAGTGATTTCAATTTTTTAAATTTAATTTCAACATCAAATTTTTGTTGTAATTTTTTTTTTTTTTTTAAGTTAAACTTTTAATATTTCTTATTCTATGCTAACATTTGTTCAAAACTAATGATTTAAACATTATCAAATGTCTAGCAAAATTGTGAAATTCTAAAACTTTTACTTTTCTAATTGATACCTCTTCTGACATGCATTACATACACATACAAACATACACATACATACATACACATGCACACACACATACACATACATAATCATTAATTGCTATAAAATTTTGAGGTTAATTAGCGAAAAAAAAAGATTTAATTAATATAAATATTTTATTAATTAACTTTTATTAATTAATCATAAAGAGAATTAGGTAATACTAAATGAGAGGAACAGTTGTTCAAGTGAAATGTTATTGAAATTTCTTCCTCTAAAAACTTTAACAATATTTTTGTGCAAAAATACATATTACATATTAAATTTCAAGTAAAATTTGATATATTTTTTTTTACTAAAGTGAAATTTAACAAATTTTAATATAAAATTTTTTGAATAATTTTGAAAATGCAAATCAAATTGTTAAAATGTAGTTTTTTTTTCCATGCATTTCGAATAGTTTTAATCTAAAGTCATTTTTTAAGTATTACTGTTGCTGTTATTACCTTGTCTAAAAACTAGGAAAGAAAAAGAGAAAAAAGAAAGTTAATTAATACATAAATAATGATTAGTTAATTATTAAATTCAATTAAAAATTTATTTAAAAGTTAATTTATGAATTATTCTACTTATTTATTCTTTTTGCTTTTTAATTTTTTTTTTCAAAATATAAAGTTTTATTTGTATACAAATATTACTTATCAATATTGCGTAGTAAAAATCATTTTAATTTTTCAGTACAATTTAATAAAAAAACAACAATTATATTAAATTAACTAATAATGGATTAATTAATATTATACATTCCAATATATCATTGTTTCTTGCTCTTAAAAATTTTTTCATTTAAAAATAATTTGAAATTTTTGATTTATAAATGAGTTATAGCAGTTGAAATTTAATTTAATTAATTCATATGAAGAAGATTTAATAAAAATAAGAGAGAAATGGTTGGTTTAATTAAGCAAATACTAACAGAATCGAAATTTCACCGATCATTGCTTCATTTCAAATTTTATCATTGCAAATTTTCCTCTTCTAAAATGTTTGATTAAAATGCTTAATGAGATGGTAATATTGATTGGTTATCAATAACTGATTAAAATGCTTAATGAGATGGTATTATTGATTGATTATCAATAACTGATTAAAATGCTCAATGAGATGGTATTATTGATTGATTATCAATAACTGATTAAAATGCTTAATGAGATGGTATTATTGATTGATTATCAATAACTGATTAAAATGCTTAATGAGATGGTATTATTGATTGATTATCAATAACTGATTAAAATGCTTAATGAGATGATATTATTAATTGATTATCTATCTCTAGTATCCATTGATCTCGTATATCATTGATCTCTGAATGAATTATATTTCATTAAATTTCCAGTAATGATATTCAAATTTGTTTTTAAAAAGAAATTCACAATTTTATATTTGAATTACTTCCATTTTCATATTAAATTACACATTTCATTTTTTAGAGCTTAATTTTATCAACATATTTTTCAGGAAACCAAAAAAAAAATACGCATTATTAGTTTCATATTTAATGAAAAAAATAAATGAAAAAAAAGAAGTTGGTTTGATTTTTTTTTTTTTTGTTGGAAATACTAAAATTAATAACAAATAATTTAATTAAAAGAAAAAAATTAAAAAATGATTTATACAAAATTTAAAATAATTTAGAAAAGAGAAAAATAGCAAAATTATAATCCATTAAATTCAGAATTGAAAAATTAAACATTATTTATTTCAGTATTCTTTTCAGTCATTTAGTGATTTATAAGAAAAAATTCCCCGAATTTATGAATAAAACCATGACATAATCATCATTTTACATCTTACCATCCGGATTTTATCACGATGATATCATCCGGTTTGATTGATCCCAAATGGAAGCATAATTTTTGTTTTATCAGTAATAGAATCCTTGCTGTGATATTGGCCTGAAATTTTTGAGCCAAGGGACATTTGAATATTGAATAATAATTTTAACCTTAAACGTTTCGCAAAATATTGGATAAAAATTTGTTTTTGATTTTGGTTTACAAAAATTTTCAAAAAATTTTGTTTTTTAAATTATTGTTTTAAATTTAGAAATATGTTCAAAGTATTCATTTAGTAACTGAGATTCATTGTGTAGACAAGATATAATTTTGAAAAAAAGCGACAGAAAAGATTGAAGAATGAAAAGGAAAAGTTTCATCCTGAAATCAGTAATGATAAGCTAATGATAAGGTACAATTAAAATAATCATTTAAAGATTACTTAATTTCAATACTGATCAATTCCGGCAATCAATTCCGACACTAACATTATTTTAATAGTATGGCAGAGTAATACTTAAAATATATAACAAATTTGGCTCCGATTTGTTATCCAAATGCAAAAGATTAAAATTTAAATTTAATTTTAATTTCAGTACAATTTAATATTCATCATTCTTCGGACAATCGATTTGATCCTTTCTGTACTTCTCGATATTATGTTTGTAATTCCTGAAAATGTTATTCGTGAAGTACTTGAAGTTCAAGCATAAAATTCTGGATAAATTTTTTTTCCACTATTTGAAAATCAGTAATTACAATCTATTTAAATTATTTAAATTAAAATCCATTCATCTATTTAATTAAATATACTGTTCTGTAACTTCTAACTAAAGGCAAATTTTTGAGATTTCAAATTTTTAAGAAAAGAGACTTCAAAAATTCAAATTACCAATTAAATTTCGATATATAATATTTTTTTTTGTTGAAATTATTAACTAAAATAGTGCATTTTTCACAATGTAAAAGTAAAAAGCAAAAAAAAAAAAAAAAAATTAAAAATTATTACTTTTATTGATAGCAATGTCTATTGGAATGGAATGAATCAGTAAGGTAAACATATGTTAACTGCTAACTTACCTTTGTTCGATATTACAAGTAAATATACTTAAGTATTTCATTTCTTTCTTCTCTTCAATTTCACTTCGAATACACTTTACCTTTGCCATTACATTCAAAAATTTTGTTTTTATGTCAAAAATTTTGTTTTTATGACAATATAATCGTAAGGTATTGGTACAATTTTAATTTTAAACTTTTATTATTATTTTTTTTTTTTTGAAAAAATTACTTTTTAATTTAAATGTTCAATCTAATTGATAAATATTTTCAAAAAAAAAAATTGATGATAAAAAAAGATAACAAAAAAATGATAAATAATATTAGTTAAACAATTAATGAAACTAAATTATTTCTCTATTTACAACAATTCATACTTACGTATTTGTTCCTCCTTGTATAAAAATTTTTGAAATTTTTAAACAAAAAAAATTTACATCAAAGATTTTTTTTTTTTGTAAAGAAGAAAGAAGAAAATGAAAACCAGTCAAGTGGTACCTTTTCATTTCATTCCTTTTCTTTCATCGTTTAACTTTTAGACAATCTTAAAATTTTTTCTCGCTTTTAGATTCATTCATTTTTTTAAACTTATTGAAATATTTTTGATAATTAATACGGAATGAATATACAATTTTAATGATTTAATGGTAAAATAAATGATATTAACTTTCAATGGCTTTTAATTTAATTTCATTTTTTGTTTATTAAAGTCGAAAGTTCGTAACTTATTGCTTTTTCCGATTATTAAGGTCAAAAGTTTATAACTTCTTGCTAAGGTCAAAAGATTATAACTTATTATTTTTTATGATTATTAAGGTCAAAAGTTCATAACTTATTGCTTTTTCCGATTATTAAGGTCAAAACTTCATACTTATTGCTTTTTCCGACTATTAAGGTTAAAAGTTTATAACTTATTGCTAAGTTCAAAAGTTTATAAATTATTGCTTTTTCTGATTATTAAGGTTGAAAGTTTATAACCTATTGTTTTTTCCATTTATTAAGGTCAAAAGTTCATAACTTATTGCTTTCTCTGATTATTAAGGTCAAAACTTTATAACTTATTGCTAAAGTCAAAAATTCATAACTTATTGCTAAGGTCAAAAGTTCACAGCTTATTGCTAAGGTCAAAAGTTCATAACTTATTGCTAAGGTCAAAAGTTCATAACTTATTGTTTGAATCTTTTGTCAAAATCTAAGAATGTTTGGTGTTTAAATCTAAGAATTTCATAATTATGCACCAAATCTTTATATTATTACTACTATTATCGTATTAATTTTTTCTTTACTTTTTATTATTTCGATTTTTGACGACATCATTGTTAATTTTAATAAATAAACAATGCTTTCAATAAAAATTTCAATTTCAAATTTTATTATTGAAAAACAAAAAGCATTCCTATAATTATCTTTTAATTTAATTTATTGAGTATTGAGTATAATTACAATATCAAATTTTATTTTATCCAAGTAGTAAGTGTCATACTTTCAATTAAAAATTAACTAATTTTATTGCATTTTTTTTTCTGATTATTACAATCAAAAAGTTAGCAAAATTGTTGTTTTTTTTTTTATTCAAATTTTGTAAAATGTTTTTTTTGCATTTATTTATGTTAATTGTTATTAATTAATTAATTAATTTAGCTATTAATTTGTTTGTGCTTGTTTTGTTCGAATTAATTAATTAATTAATTATTCGTACTATAACTATTTAGTGCTTGATGAAATCAACCTGAAACGGTCAATTATGTTTGGTACATCGTTTTTTGTTGCAACTTGTTTATACTTCAAAAGTAAACATAGCTATGCTTACGATAACACCAGTAAACAATCCAGAAGGAACGGAACGTATCACAAATATTTTGAAATTGATAATTCGAACGAGGAAACAAATCGATCGATGAGTGTTAGCTACGCTGATAACAACGATAATTATTATTCTAATTCTGAAAAATGTCATATACCTAAAAAAGTATTCCGGAAAATGGAAAAAATTCCGGAAAAAGAGCAAAAAAAATTAATAAACATAGAAAATATACATATACCAAAGAAAATTAACAGACCAATGCTTAAAATTCCATCAGAATTATGCAATGATCAACAATCATCATCATCACATGCTGGAAATCAGGAATCATCCTCAACATTATCAGTAACCGGTAGTGAAAAATTACATGAAACAACTCCGGAAACTGGATCAATTCGGAAAAAACGATTTCTAAATAGACTAGCAATAATATCAATCAAAAAAATGAAATCACTGATGAAAAAAGCAAATCAGGAAAATATAAATTATTCATCCGTACTAACCGTAACACCTAAAATAGGAACTGTAGAATTAGGAAAGGATGAAATGGAATTTATAGATGCAAATGGTGATGATCCGGATTGTTGCAGGAATAGAAGAAATACAATGAAACGTGGCTTCCGGTATCTTTTCAATCAGGAAAAAACCAATAACAAGTAATAATAATTATTGTTTTTTTTTTTTTTTTTTTATTCAATTAATTAAATTAATTTTATTGTTAAAATTTCTAAAACAATTTTACAATTTCATTTTCTTTTTTTTTCTTTTTTTTTAAATAGTCAATATTGATTGCTATTTTCTTTTTTTTCTTTAGCAAAAATTTTTTCATAAATTAAATTTAACAGTTAATATTACTAATTAATTATATTGATAATTAGAAAATTATAAAAAATTTTTTATATAAAATTTTTAAACAAAAAAAATTATAAAATTTATGAAAAAAAAAAATGACGAGAAAATTACAGAGATGATAGTGATGATATGGGAGTGGAACAAAAACGTGGATTTTTTCAGGTAAATATTTTTTTTTAAAAAATAAAAAAAAATTTTTTTTTCCGTTTTTTTTTTTTTTCAAATACAGAAAATGAATTAATATTTAAATTCATAAAAAAAGTTCTTTTTTTTTCTAATGCAAAAGACAAGTTAATATTTAAATTTATAAATTTTGTAAAAAAAATATTTTAAGAAATTTTTTTTTTTTTATAAATCCAGAAATTTTTCCGTCCACCAAGTTCACGGTCATTAGCCGATGATGAAGGAACAAGTACAGATCCGGAAAGAAGGCTTTTGTTACACGATGATGACGGATATGCTGTAATTGATAGGCAACAACAACAACATGAACTTGTTATTTCTGTTGACAAAGAGAAACGTGAAAGTAACTACTTTTTTTTTAAATTTCATTTTTTTTTTTTTATTGCTAAGCTATTTACACGTAAATTTCAACGTATACGTACGTGTTCGACAATATTTTTAACAGGAAATTGAAATAAGTCTAAATTTCATTGTTACTTAGAATAAATAAATGTAAATATTTTAAGGAATAAATTAATTTCATATAATTTTTATATTAAACTTATAAGATCTAGAAAATTTAGCATTTGAAATTGAAAAAGAAAAAAATTTTTTATAATTGAATAATTCAAAAATTAAGTATAACAAAAAAGATGTATAAATGATATCATTTGTTAAAAAAAATTAAAAAAATAAAAAGTTAATAATTTAAATAGTGAAATATTACAGTGTCAGCACCAGTGTCACCAAAAAGTGTCACATTTGAGGATGAATTGTTTACAACAACAACAACAATATCAGGACGACGTGGTCAAAGTTTGGCACCACCACCCACATTTTTAACCACTCCAACAGGAACAACAATACCATCACAACAAGCATTCATCAATTTTAATTATGATGTATCACCAATTTCAAGAATGAATTCTAGGAATGATTTACCTAAAAGCAATTTACCTGATCGAGAGCATTTTGTTTGTTTTTATTTTCTTTGTTTTTATTTTGTTTGTTTGTTTGTTTTTTTTTAATCTTCATTTTGCCTTCAAAATAAATATACAGCAAAAAAATTAGCACTTATTTTAAAATACATTCATTCTATTATTGATAAATTATTATATTTATACTTTATCTAAAATGTGTCACTAAATATGTCACCAAAAAATGCAAAATTACAGTCACCAACACGTTCAAGTCGTGATGCATCATTAGCATTAGATGAAGCCACTCATGATTTATTACGTCTTTCTTCACAGCCACCAGATATTTGGTATAGCAGTAGTTCACGTCCGCTGCATGCATCCGATCGCATCCCAAAATCTGCATCTACTACATCAATGAATAAAGTTATTAGGGCAAAGGTTAAAATTTTTTTTTTTTCTAATATTTAACATATTGAAATTTAATTTATAACTTTTAAAGATATTAACTTTAATTGATAACAATTAGAAGTGTTATTTGTAAAAACTTTACTTTACTGTATATTTGTGTTTATTCGATCGTTACAATAAATAATACTTTAATTTGTTAATGATTGCATAATTAAATTATAAAATAATAAAATTAAATTATAGGATGGTGGAATGATGAAATTATTAAATGCTTTTTCATGGGATAGTGATCGATTAAGTGATCTTGGTGCTACTGATACATCAGCATATACTGATGAAGAAGGACGGCGACATCAAACAGTTACCGTTTATACTAATCAAAAAAGGTTAATGCAATTTTGCATCTATTTAACTTCACTTGTTCATTCCATTCATTTGCAAAGTTGAAATTTGCTTTATAACTCCTTGAATAAAATTAAGGTTGAAATTTGCTTCATAACTCTTTAAGTGAAATTAAGGCTGAAATTTACTTCATAATTCTTTGAATGAAATTAAGTTGGAACTTACTTCATAACTCTTTGAATGAACTGAGGTCGAAACTTACTTCATAACTCTTTGAATAAACTGAAGTTAAAACTTACTTTGAATAAAATTAAGGTTGAAATTTACTTCATAACTTTTTTAAATGAATTTAAGTTGAAACTTACTTCATAAGACGTTGAGTGAAATTAAGATTGAAATGAACTTTATTTCTTCTCTAAAAACTCATAATTGTAATATTTACAGACAAGGACCACCAATCATTCGAACAACAGTGGAAGGCAAATTAAAAATGGAAAAAGTTGTTGGGGCAGATCTTATATCTGTTGAGCATTGTACATGTAGTGCATGGACAATACATGATACTATTACTCATTATAAAGTATTCTTTCATATTTTTGTATTTGTTAATTAAATTGAAACTTTAAAAATAATAAATTAATCTTTTTGTTATTCATTCAAAAATATATTAAATAATAATGCTACTTTTAAAGTTTTTTATTTTGTAAATTTATTTATTTGCTTTTTTTTTTTTCTTGTTGTTGTTCCTGTTTTACAATACTTTAAATAAATTAATTGATAGTATTTTTAATTATTTTATTTTTACAGGTAAAAACTACATTAGGAAATCGTACATTAATTATGGAAGACGAATCAACGAATGATAAAAATTGCGATGGAAGTTTCAAAATGAGTTTTTATGAAAATGATCAATTAAAAACACGAGATAATGCTGATTTTCAAATACCATCGAATGTAGTTAGTGTTAATTTATTGTTTAAATCAGAAATTTCATCACATTAAAATAAAATGAATTAGCAAAGAACTAATCAAATTAATCAATTCTTATCATTCTTTTTAAAAATTTAAATTATAATTTTAACATTTCTTTTTTCGAATGTTAATTATTACATATCAAATATGTTGTAGAATGATTGATTAATTCAAATATCGTATTTAAATGTGTGAAAAAAAAAAGAAAACAAAGTCAGCGTAATTTATTATTTAAGTCATAAATTTCATCACATTAAAATAAAATGAATTAGTAAAAACTAAAAGTGAAAACTAATTAGTAATGAAATAGTAAAAACTAGTCGAATTAATCAGTTCTTGTCACCTTTTTTGAAAATTTAAATTACAACTTCAACACTTCTTTTTTTAGAATGTTAATTATTATATATCAAATATGTTATAGAGTCAAATTCAACTATCATATTTAGATGTAAAAAAGAAAATAAACAAATAAACAAATAGAAAATTCTACACTTTTTTTGAAATAAAAAATTCAAATAAAAAAAATTTTTACATTTTCAGGATAAAGCTAAATATTTGTCATTATTAAGTCAACGATTGTTGCATGATATGGAAATGTTAAATCAACATGATGAAAAGAAAACAACAACAACAGCAAAAACACGAGTTGAAGTAGAAGTAATTGAGAATGTGACAAAAATTCTAAAAACATATATTATTGGACAGCGAAATGATTTTCTTCAAGATTTCTCGATCGATCAAACAACAATTAATACAACGGATGATGAATTATCACATAGCAATTACAAACATGAAATGATATCATTATCAGAAAATTTTGATGAGACGAAAATGCTAAAAAATGAAGCAATAATTAATCAATCATCATCTGATATTAAATTTCTTGTTGAAGGTCATCAATATAAAGGTCATTCTGAAATACGACGACGACGACCTTATCAACGAACTAATTCAGATGTAACGACAACATCAGAAAGTCTGAATGACAAATATATATTATTACCTTCTATTTATACTAATTTAGAATGTAATTTAAAACGTATGGAAGATCATTCATTTATTGAAGTTAACGTTGCAGTACCAAACGTTTTCTCAGCTGTTTTATCGTTAATACGTGAACGTATTATTTCACAATTACCAAATCTTGTTAAATATGGTATAGAGCAACACGGAAAACAATATTCCGGTGAGACAACTATTCGACGTATACAACATTTCGACTCAATTGAATCAATCGATGAAAAAATGATAATTAATAATCAAAAAGAGCCAAGTTTTTTGTTCGAAAAACCACAAATAATTGAACCGGTGAAAATTCCTGTTTTAAATATTACAGAATTGGATTTACGTCGAATGGCCGATACATCAGCAATTTTAGCAAATTTTGCTATTCCACGTATTGATTATAATCAATTAAATATTGAAAAGTCATATGAATTTCATGAAGCAAAAGGTAGCAGTTATGGTATGCAACAAAAAGGACAATATTTTGAGGGTGAAATGATTTTAAAAAAGAAACGACAAATTTTATTGGAATCAGAATCAGCTTCAGATGACGAAATTACCAGCTGTGGTTCAACATATTTAAATTTGATGAAGCAAGAAGCACGTGGTGAATTTGAAGTTGCAATAATTATTTCAAATGATCAACGTAGCTCACCAAAACATTTTCAACAAAGTCAACCAATTGAATTTATCAATTTAATCACACAAGTTAGCACTGATGGTAAAAAAGAAGAGGTAGTTGCTACACTTGCAACAAGAATTATTTCTAAGGAAATATTTATAATACAAGAAATGAGTGCTGTAATTAGTAATGCAATTATAACAATTCAAAAATCAATTAATCTGGATGATATTTTCCAGCATAATATTTGCTGTTGGAATGATAAAATAATTCATCGAGAATTTGCTAAATTCTTGGCATCCAGTGAGGAAGAGGCACAAATTTATTTGAAATTTATTTCATCTGCTATTGCATGTCAAAATGTGTGCTGCATTCGTGCAATACCAAATTTATTGCATATAACATTCACTGCTGAAATATTCCAATCAGCAAATGAAACAGTGGTAATTTATATGCAAAATAAATTTGCTACCACAATAATGATGTCCTGTGATGACGTACGTCAAATTTCACGATTGTCCAGTGGACATATGCTAAAAACAAAAGCTACTACAGAAGAAGCAACAATAATTATGCTAAGTATTGGATGTATTAGTAAATATGCTAATACGCTTATGACGGAATTTATCGTAAAAGACGCACACAAATGCAAAGTTAATCTTTGCTCACGAGCTAGTCGTGAAAGTGAACGTATTTCAAACGTATCATTGAATCGAAGCACAAAAATGCTAGCTACAACTATACGATTATTGGAACGTATAAAACGGAAAGAACAATTGACAGTCACAGAATTTGGTGATGAAAATGAACACGTAGCTATTCTGTTACAACGTGCAGGTATCACGCATGGTCAAGTGCAACGTGAATGGCCTGAAGCAGTGACAGGTAGGTCAAATATCATTTCTACCACTACTATTACTACTTCTTCTACTATCACTACTACCAATACTTTTAATATTTTTGAATTGCTCACCAATTCTTTTGGTGCTATTGCCAGCACTAATTTTTTAATCACTAATTTAACAAATATAAATACAACAACTAAACATTTTCATTTATTCAATTTTAAAACTATTTTACCAACTTACGGTAAAGCACATAAAATTATTCCCTTAATTATCACTACTACTATTTCTATGAATGTTTCAATCAATAACACATAATCAAAGATTCGAGAAATTTTCATAAAGTGCTAAAGTTGAAATTGTAAATGAATTATGTCACTTTGATGAAATAAGTGATGGCTAAAATTAGCAGATGTTTGATACTTTTTGGCTATCTTTTGTACGCTTACTTATACAGATGAGATAAGCATTAAGGTAAAATGACAATTCAATTGGTCATTTAGTAATTTAAGCGATGAAATGAAATAAAAAAGGCTTATCATCATTATCATTGCTTACAATGGATGCAACAAAATGAAATTGAATTATCATTTTTTACTGATAATCAACATAGAATATGAGCAATCATCTACACAAACAATTTTAAATGTGGAGAAATCATCTCAAATTATAGATGCGGATGAAACTAAGACAGATGGCGCAAATGATATAAATGAAATGTTATCAGAACATGAGCTTCGAGTGATACCTATTAAATTGATTTCAACTATGAATTCAAATAATATAAATGATAGAAAAAAGCATACAAAAGAAGAAGAGGAAGAAGAACAACAATGGAATACAAAAATTAATTTCATTAATTCATCATCTCATGGAATCAGTTCTTTGTCATTGCTCGATGATATCGATTCAAATAGAATAATTAATCATTCATACATAAGTGATAACTTCAAAATGATGAAAATTTCCGATATATCAAATTCCAATTTGCAAAATGCGTCAGAAAATTTAAATCGATGGAAAGAATCAATATCACAAGACAACAGTAAAGTTGATAAAACAACAATGAAATTTAAAAAAGATACGAAGGAATTTGAACATGAACGAATACATTTGCAAGAATTTCCATCCGAGCAACAAAAGCTGTACATTTCTTGGCAAGGAAAAAATGAAGAAAAGCACGCAGAAAATGGAATTCAATTTGAATTTAATAATAGAAATGAACAAAGAGATAAAATTGAAGAAAATGATGAATTGAAGAGAAATTTCTATAATAATACAAGTGAAACACGTGTTGCGATGCTTAATGCTGGTTTTAATCTTGATACGACATTACTTGCGACACCAGAACGTGAAACGCAATTTACTTTCGTAAGAGATCGCAGTATAACAACAAGTGAATATTTCTCAGATGAACAAAGTTGGAGTGCTACAATCACAGAATCATATTATCGACAGAAACAAACTCATATCGAACAAATATCAAAATCAGTTGGTGATTTACTTGAATCATCGTTGGAAGAGAATTCTGAAGCATTTTTCGATGAAATAAGCCATATTTCAGATGCTACATGTAATCGTATGAAATATTCCGAAATGGTAAATTCAGAAAAAATGAATTTACATATGACACATTCGTTGACCAATAGTCTTGAAGCAACTGCATTAAAAGAATTTCTAGTAGCAACCGATGATGAATATGATGCTATTCCGGAATTATGCAAGTATGATGTTAAAGTTGGAAAATCGGAACAGTATGAATCATCATCTATATTCGTAACCGGAAATCATGTAAGCGAAACAACGGAAACATCAGTTATGAGAAAGGAAAATGAAAATTACGAAAATGTAAATGAATCAAATGAAAAACACTTAACAACATTTTGGGAAATAACTGAAAAAAATATTCAAACTCAGATTCCATCATCGATAAATGTCGAATGTGAGAATGAAATATTTCAAGAAACAACTGCTAGCACTACAAAAACTAACGAAACCATTGAGCATATGATATTAAAACCGGTAAACATAACCGTATTTGACACCAGAACAGAAATTTCAAAAATAGAAAAGCAAAAATTAGATGATAATATTAGTGAAATTGATTATTGTCAAACAGCTTCACAACCTTTTCTTGTATCAGTTCAAAAACAAGATGTAAGTCAAAATGATGCTATGATTACATTTGATAAAATTAAAACATCAACTAAGGAAGCATGGAGTGAAAGTGAATCAGTAAACAATGAATTGTTTACTACCTTACAGGTGTCAGACAATAAAAGAACATTTGATGAGAGCAGCAATCAGATTAATTTCAATGAAAGGAACACTCGATTTGATGCTATTGCGCATTTTCCACCTAAATTTGCGCCAAATGAGAAAAAAATGATGGAAACAAAAATGATGCAAGAAGAGAAGAAAATTATAAAAGAATTTGAACAGATAGAAGAACAATTCGAGACTAATCGAAATATGGAATTGCTAGAAGAGATGAAACAATTAAAGGAAGAAATTGAAGAAATAGCAAAGATTGATCAGGAAATTGATCAGGAATTATTGATCAGGAATGAAAATGAAAAAATAGTAGAAATGAGAGAAGAAGTTTTATCTATACGTCAAATTATATCAAAAGATTGGAATTTTGGAAAATATGTAGGAACACAAATGGAAGAAAAGTTTAATCAAATTGAACATGAAAAGATTACTGATACAATTCAAATAGATCAAAACTTTCCGATTTCCACAAATTTAAAAACAAACATTTTGAAATTAGAAATGGAAAAAGTTTCACCAACTGAAAATGTTTACATTGAATGTAAATTAAGAAATTGTCATCAAACAACGTTGACAACGAATGGAAGAGAAGAAGAAGAAGAAGAAGTAAAAGAAATAATTTATCGGGCAACTCAAAAAGAATCAATCAACAATTCTTTTAACTTCGTTGATTATCAGGAAACATTATCCGGAATAGAAGTTCACCTTTGTATTCCAGAATTTAACATAACAACAGAGAATTTTACATTTTCCGAAGAATACAGCAAACAATTATTGCATAAATTTGAGGAAAAAATGGAATATGTAGGAACGCTCAAAATGTCTAATATTGAAACTACAATAGCAAATATTAGAGAATATAATCAGGAATTAACTGATTCAAGTGATCTATATCAGCAGATTATAGTTCAGGAAATGGCTCAAGAATGTACCAGAATTATTGCTGATAAACTTATGATTCACGCAAGTGAAAATATTACGCAAAATATTACTTTACCTGATCAAATAGATCAATGGACGATTGTTCCGGAAGAGATGAATGTTCAAGAATGTATGAATTTGCAGTCGATTTCTGAAAGTTTCATCACGCAACAGTCTACAATTTTAGAAAGCAATCGGAATAGTTTTCTGGAAATATCACCAAGTATCAGAAGTAATAGAACGGAGAATACATATGCTAAGTATCCGGAAACTGAACATGAGAATGAAGTATTAGCTATTGGATGGAATAAAGTTATAAGAAGAGCATCAACGGAAAAATTGATACCAATCGGAAAAACGCAAACGGAAAAGTTATCTACTATAGCAATTACGGAACAGAATGTCGAGTTTTCGGGAATGATTGGAAAAATGGACGATCATTTTGATAGTATTGAGCTAAAGCGCTCTTTGAAAATATCTACCACTGATGAAAAGCAATTAATGATAGCTTCTGAAAGTCGAGAATATTCTTTGCTTAAGAAATCTTCCGCTCAGGAATGCGGTAGTGTAATGCGAGATTTGGAAATTATTCAAATTAGCGCACATATTATGGAATATGGCGTAGCGCAAACAGTAATTACAGGTTTCTTCGCAAAATTGGAACAGAAGAAAATAGCAGAAAAAGTTGAAGTACAACTTGCTACTTCAATAAAACTTAAAAGTTATTTTGACACAAAGTTTGCTAATTTCGAATCTGTCTTGTTGGATATACAATTAAAATGCAATTGTAATGCGGAATCGGCTGAAAGTTTTATTAGCATTGCGCAAAAACCAATTGTGAAATTCATTATAAATCTGAAAGGAACACTAATGAGTGTATTAAAAACACAAGCGGAACATATATCAAGCGTTGGACGTGTTTTTCCGGATGAGAAACGTGAAAGGACTTCTGTATGCATTCATGAATTTGATAATGAACATCAACAATATATGGCGCAATGGGATATGATACAGAATGCGCTATCAGCTGAAGTATGTGTAGAATTGAAAAAGATAACATGCAACGTTGATGCAATTAAGCAAGAAAATATTCAAATTAACAAGCAAATCGGAAAACCGGAATTTATAGATGCTGCCTGTTCAGAAATTAACGAAACATATATGATGATATTTGATAAACAATCACAACAACAATCATTAAAAATTATTCAAAATGATATAAATCGAGAATGGATTCTCGATGAGCAAAAATATGTTGCACAAAATGAAGTAACAAAATTTGTAGATGCAATATGGAGTACAATTGTGAACGATTCAAATATTGCTATTAATATTTGTGAATTTAACCGTGAGCAAATAACGCTTAATACTAAAGCTAGTGAGGAAATTTGTTTGGAATGTAAACAAATGCTTTATATGAAATCAGTTGATGAGAATGCCTTCGCACACTTTCATACAAACACCGCTGTTTCAGGCGGTGAAAGACAATTTAAAATAGAATGTAAAATGAATGAAAGCATTTTGGCACGTCAACAAGAAGAATTATTTGCTGAAAGTGTACAACAAAAAGCAATATTACATGCGGAAAATTTGACTGAATTCATAGCGGAAAGTACTGCAGTGCAAGCAGATGCTGGAATTTTATTGATACGCCGTTCCGCAACGCAAACAACGGAATCTGCTTCACATATTATTGGCATTATCTTAACCTTAACACAACATTTTGAAGCACAGCATGCTCAAGAAATAACCAATGAAGCAAATGTGGAATTTTCCATTCCGGCATCAAATCTAGAAGTGGAAGATAATATCTGTAAATCAGTTATCAATCGAAGTGTCGTCAATTTGGAGACTAATTATGCGAAAGCAATAGCATTACAAGAAAATGTTGAATTAATCAATTCACGTAAAGTATTAGCTGAAACGGAGAGTATTTTGAAAGGAATGCATACGGATAGTGTACGTGAAAAAATGAGAGAGACAAATTCGGAAGGTTTTGAAATTTTATCACAATGGACTACTGTTGATCGAGATTTAGAAGCAGAAGTAAGCTTAAAACATAAGCATAACATTGTGAGTAAATTGTCAACAATAGCAATTATCGAAGAAGAAATTTCAATTGATGAAAAATGGATAGCAACGGAATGTAATTTGGAAATATGCAAAAGCAGAAATATCATTGTAAACGAGCATTGTCAATGTAATTTACAAATTGAATTTAATGAGCTGACAATAGAATTGAAAAATTATGAAAAGAAAGAAAATTACGAGATATTATGGAACGATAAAAATTATGATACATTAGACGTAAACGTGTACGAAACAATTTTGGAAAAGTTAAACGCAATGATTAATCTTCATCGTGTATCAAATATTTTACCGAAACAATCAGCAAATGAATATATTTGCCGTGATCAACAATTTCTCGTAGCACTTCCATTGTACGTGAAATGTGACGAGAACAAGGACAAAACAAATTATACAATTTTAGAAATTTGTTTGAAACAAAATGAAGTGGAAGAATATATTGAAACAATTCAAACTATGGCTAATTGGATGAAAATGGAAATTTTTGAATGTGAACAAGCTGAGAATGAAAAATTTCATATGGATGTGAAATTGCAAGGAAAACAATTATTAGCATCGTTGGAGGTAGAATTAGTATGGCCTGAAATTAGAAAAGGTGATAAGATGGCTATTGATATGATAGAATATGTGGAAGAACAGATAACAATTTATGCACAAATAGCATGCAAACAAATATCATTTGATGAATTTAACAAAACAATTATCATAAGCCAAAAGTCAGAACCACAAATGCTAATGACAAGTACCACAAAAGAAGAAATTGTAAATGGATACGATGAATTTAGAATAGTACCACAAGAAAAAGCTACTACTTTTGTGATAATTATTGGAAATAAGGGTGAATGCTTATCAGTATGGTTGCAAGAAGCCAAACAAAATTTTATCACTATGGGATTTCAGTATAATGAAGAAAGTGAAATATATGAAACAGAGGGTAATTTTACTGAAAAACGTTTTGGTGGTAATTATCAACTGATAACAAAAGCGACAAGAATAGAAGATAGCAATGCTAGCATGATAATGTCACATCGAATTGCAAATGAAGCAATTAATAAAGTTTTCAAAGAGTGCGCCAAAAAATTTGCAACAATGGATATGCTAGCGGCAACATCAAAAGTAATACTGGTAGATATTAATCGAACAAAAGCGCCACAAATGCCACAAATAGCAACAATACAATATTATTGCTCTCGAAGAGGGGAACCAATTAAGAGATATTTTCGAGAAATCAACGAAATTATTCATACTGTACATGCACAGTTTAAAATTAAAGAAGCTTCATTGAAATTTGCGATTGCTTGGAGTGTTCCAAATTATGGTGGACATTTTATTTTGAATACAGAAGCTGCAGAGGAAGCATTCATATCTCGTCAAATTGAATATCAAAAAGCTGAAGCATTTGAAAGTGCAGCAAAAATGCTAAAGCAAATGATAACTCCAATAATTGTACCAGTATTATCAGTACAATCTATCACTGAAGTAATGGAAGAAATTAGAAAAGATTTGATAAGATTATCATTTATCGATGAAGCATTTCTATTGCTTAAAGAAGCTAATAAAGGTATTAATATTGAGGTAAAATTAATTGAAACAACCGATATAAGACAAATTAGCTATTTGCAATTTAAACGAGAAATTGAAGCAATAGAAGTGGAAACGATAATAAAAGAAAAACGATTTGGTGGTAAATTAAATCTCACAATGAATGCTTCGGAAGAATACGAAATAAATGCTAAAAGAGAGCTTACAAATAATCTTATTAGAATTGCACATTGTAATCAATTGATAGCATGCAAAAATAGCTATCCATCACCAATTTCTTATCAATTTATCAACATCAAATCAGACTCTACTGTTGTGCAAATAAATTTACAAAAAATGGAAAGTGTAGATAATATCAATTGGATTTTTTATCAAAAATTATTAATGAAGAAGCTAATGATGATGCAAGAATGTGAAACAATTGCATTAACTGTTAATTTAAATTATTTGAAAGAAAGTTCAATGGAAATTTCAGAGATAATTGTACAATTGGCACGAAATATTGAGCCAACTATTCTGATAACATTTGCAACAACAAATGAGCAAAAATTGGTGCAATGGATTTTGGAGAAACGACGTGATGCATTTATGAATGTATCAACAACAATTATTGCTAAAAATAATTTAAAAATTATTCCAATTAATATAATTGAATCAAAATTAATGGAAATTACAATTTGCGCCAATATTCAACGTATTGCTGAAGTGATTGAAGTATGTCAAAGGATGATAGCAGCTAATCGTGGTGATGATATGCATTGGAAATTACGTGAAATTAACGTGGAAAATGAATGCTCCAATTATCAATTTAAACAGGAAAATTTAATGGAAGAAATTGAAGGAATATATTTTCAATCAAATTATGCTGGTCATTTCATTTTCAATACTTTTGCAATCAATGAATGCAATATTAATATGTCACAACAATTGGAATCAAAATTAATTACTGATGCTAAAAAATCGTTGACAATTAATATATGCAATAATGGTATTCCGATTGCATTTACAACAAAATCAGCAATTTCATTGGAATGTAATGAAGAAATTGCATTGAAACGACAATTGCAAATGGCTAATGTGACAATTACTCGACAACTGGCAAATATTGATTTGGCAGAAATAATTGTAAAAGAAATTATTTTGCAAACAGAAAATATCATTGTAAAATATCAACATAAGGATGAGCATGAAGAAATTGAAATGATCAAATTTGTTGCATTTTATGGTGGTAAACAAAAATTGGAAACATTAGCAGTAAGTACGATTACTGCTAATATTAATGAAGAATTAATATGCAAGCATTTAATGCATGCAGATGTATATTTGCAGCAGATAATTGCAAATATTGCAAAACCATGCAAATTAACAGTGCAATCAAGTGCATTTAATGAAATCAATCAAAATTGTCATCTTCAGTGGAAAGGAATTTTTGAAAATGAAAAAATAATAATTTCAACGTTGCATACGGCTAATTATGAATTTGCTAAAATTACAATTCGAGAATGTACAAATGAAATTGAAATGATTACAACATATTGGCAACGTAATGAAATGTATGAAAATGCTCAATTATGCATTTGTGATCAATATTTTGGTGGAAATTTAATATTTACAACTAATTATGCTCAAGAAACATTGATTATGTTTACAGCTTCATTGATTGCTTCACGTTTTAATTTGGAAAATGTTATTTTGATCATACGTACACCACGTCATAACACAGAATCTCCTATACTTACAACAAAAGCAATCACCGATTTATCTACTCAATTTAATTATCATTTCAACTGTTGTTCATCTACTGATCAACAAACAATGATCATTGCACATATTGCTAATCAAATTGAACCGATAATTGCTCAACTAACCGAAAGTACTAGCATCACTGAAATTATTAATGTGCAATATCAACGACAAAATCAACTTATTGATGCATTTTCAGAAGTATTACCGGAAGCACGTTTTGGTGGATCATTAATTTTAAATACTTTGGCTGCTAAAGAAGTATTCATTAGCATTGAAATTGTTTACAATAATCGAGCATTGAAACAATTTGAAACAGAAATGATTTTTATGGATAAAAATCGAGCAATTGAAATGTGTCAACTATTAGCAGCTACGGAATATATAATTACAACAAATGTACAATTGCAACGATCAAATGATTTATCAAATGTTGAATTGATGAGATATACATCACGTAAAGGTGATAAACAATGTTGTACATTTAATGAATCAACAGAAATTAATTTATTCAATAATTTCTTGTGGAAAAAACCGGAAGAAATAAGCGCTAATCAAGTGGCTATTTTGAAAGAAATACGTTATGGTGGACATTTGGAATTAAGCACGAAATATGCAAATGAAGAAGCTATTACAATTATGGAAACATTAAAGCAAACAATGACACAACTATCTGCTACAATAACGAGGAAAATAGCAAATGATGGTGAAGCAATAAGTATAAATTGTTTAGCATCACAAGAAAATCATTGGAATATTCATATGGAATTACAATCCAACAAATTAGCTCAATTGGAGACATTGGTAATTCGTAAGGTAGCAAATTGTGTGACACCACAAGAATTGTTTACAAATGAATTCAGTGAAATGATGCTAACAACAAATGTTACAATGCAAAAATTATTGGATAATGAATTGGCGCAAATTGCATGGAAAGCAAAAAATCAAGGTGAACCAATCGAGAAACAATGTAATGCTTCAAATGAATCATTCATTGAGCTGTGTAATTGTTTACAATCTAAATTATCACTAAAGCAAAATGTTGACACATTGTTGACAATTAATGAAATATGCTATGGTGAACATATAATAATGAATGTAAATGCAACAGAAGAAATTATTTTCAATTTGGATGTATCATTTAAAAAGGAAAATATGACAAGTAAACAATACCATACTGTCAAAGAAATAAATAATGCAGTACCGGAAATATTGGACACAACAGAATGTTTGGAAATAGCAATACAAATTGATAAATTGGAAGTGTGTAGGCGTTCTAATGAAGTGCATGTAGAAAGTGCTTTAAAATTAGCTAAACAACAATGCTTACCTGTTTGTTTACAAACAGATTCGGCTGAAGAAACGTTTATACGGCATGAACTAGAGATGCGTAACAATTTGCAACGTAACAACAATGATGCAGTAGAGATTGAAAAAACAACACGAATAATTGAACGTGAAGCATTAACGTGTACGGAATCACTTGTTGTGACATTGCGACATAAAAGTTTAGATGAAGTGGAAGAGGAAAAAGTCGAAAAACGGTACTTTTTCTCTTTTTTTTTTTCTTTTCTTAAAATTTTCAAAAATTTTTCTTTTTTTAATATATTGCTACAAAAAAAAAAAAATATATATATATATATATATATATATTTTAAACATTTATTTGCAATTAAAATTATTCCAATTTAATAAATAAATATTTGATAATTATATACATATAACTAAAATTATTTCAATTTAATAAATAAATATTTGATAATTATATATATAACAAAATAATAAACTTTCCAACAAAAAAAAAAAAAAAGAAATTATTTTTATTTACTCAGCATTAATTAGATTATATTTCAAATATTTTTAATTTTCATTCAAATCATTTTTTGCTCTTAATTTTAATTTATAGTTTAAACAGTAATATAACTCTCATTACTATATTTACTTATCATTTTTACTTGTTAGAGTAAGTTTTGCGGCTGAAGTAACTGAGAAAACGATGTCAATGGATATGAGTGTAACAGTGGAACAGCAAGAAATTCCATTAATTGTTAAAAAACCAATGAAAAAGGAACAACACGGTCGTCGGCAAACTTTAAAACAAAATGAAGCTCCAAACTTGTATGAAATTTTCTTAACCCTTTCTCTCTCTCTCTCTCTCTCTCTCCACTCTCCCTCTCTCTTTGTTTTAATAATAAATTTTTGAATTGAAAATTCTCTATTGATAAGTGATTAAATGATTTTCTCATTAATAGCAATATTTTTAGAAACCACGAAGAGAGATAGAGAGAGAGAGAATTTAAGTTTAAACTTAATTTTAAATTTAAACTCATAATTGATGTAATGCTTTTAAAGTATTTTAATATGAATTTTATTAATATGAAATATTTTAAATTATCTTACTTTATTCATTTTCCACTCATAATTTTATCTTTATCACTATAATATTTGACGTCTGAAAATAAGTGAAAAAAAGAAAAAATTAAGTTTTTTTTTTTTTTTGAACTATCCAATAAAAAAATTTTTGACTTTAAAATATTAAAATATAAAATAACATAATAGCAAAATTGAAATTTTCAATATATAATTTTTTTTTTTTTACATACAATAATTTTTCAACTTTTTACATAAAATTTTTGGAAAGTTTAATTTTAAGTTTAAACTTAATCTTTTCAGTGTACCAGTACGTCGGAATAGCTTATTATTAGCAATGGAAATTGGTGATGCGCACAATATACCACATTATAAAACTTTGGAAGATGTCATCAAAGGTATCAAAAAGGTAAATTTTAAAATTTCTATTAAAATGAGATATTTCTGATTTAACTTACATCACATTATAAAACTTTGGAAGATGTCATCAAAGGTATCAAAAAGGTAAATTTTAAAATTTCTATTAAAATGTGATATTTCTGATTTAACTTACATCACATTATAAAACTTTGGAAGATGTCATCAAAGGTATCAAAAAGGTAAATTTTAAAATTTCTATTAAAATGTGATATTTCTGATTTAACTTACATCACATTATAAAACTTTGGAAGATGTCATCAAAGGTATCAAAAAGGTAAATTTTAAAATTTCTATTAAAATGTGATATTTCTGATTTAACTTATTCAATCAGTTTAGCATCACATTGTAACAGTTTAAAATTAAATTTATTAATTCGAAAATATTGAAACATATAACCAAATTCAAATATCACATTATATAGCTAATTGTCACAAAAAAAATATTGTTAAGAAAAAGACTATTTGTTTGCAAAAAAAAGATAAACAAGGTCAATAATCAATTAGCTAATGAAACAAATAAATTAATTAATTAAACAAATAAATTAATTAATTAATAAAACAAATAAATAAATAAATATATGAATTAAACTGTCGCGAAAATTTCAGAATGTATATCTTTTAGCTATATAATATGTAATTTTTAGGCTGGCTTAGAATATTCGAATTTAATATTTGGAATTGATTATACGCAATCAAATAAATATCAAGGTGAAAGAACGTTTGATGGTCGAAATTTACATTCTCTTAATTCAGATGAAATGAATCCTTATCAACAGGTATTGTCTTTTTTTTTTATACACATAAGTTAATTTTGCATTTAAAAATATCGAATTATCATCGAACTGAAGGATAAAATTTTAATAGAATACTTAATAAATTGATTTATCAAATTGATAGATATTGATTAATTGGTTTTATTTTTTAATTATATTTAACTTTAAATGTTTATGTGTAAAAATTTTGTTCCTCTATCTTTTACAAAAAAAGAAAAATTTACTTCTTTTCCATCTTTTATTATATTTATCAAATCAGAAAAATCCTTTTGTTTTTTTTTTTTTTGCTTTTTTTTTTTTAAATTATCGATATGAAATTTTTTAAATATAAAAGAAATTGAAAATTTTTACAGGTAATTGAAATTGTTGGAAAAACATTATCATCATTTGATGCTGATGGTGTGATACCAACTTATGGATTTGGTGATGAGGAATCAAGTGGTCATGGAATTTTTAATTTAAATGATCGAAATGATATAAATGCTGAATGCAACGGTTTTGAAGGTTAATTATTAAATTATAACATATGCATAAGATGTTTGAATGAACTTTATTAAAATTTCATAATTAAAAATTAAACATTTTTTGAAATTCAAAATTTAACACTTTTAAATGATTATAAAATTTTTATCATTTTAATTTGAAATGATAAAATTTGCAGAAGTTTTAAGAATATACAATGATAAAACACCATCCATTCGAATGTCTGGTCCAACAAATTTTGTACCACTCATTGAACAGGTTCTTTTTCAATCCTTTCAAATTTCGTTTTTTTTTTTTTTTTTTTTTTTTTTTTGGAAATGAAAATAATTTAAACTTAAATTGTATAATATTTTAACATTTTAAATATTTGCTTTTTTTCAAATTTTACACAAATTATGCACAAAAATTGTACATTTGAAGTCAATAATTTATAATTCACAATTGCTAATTAATTTACAAAAAAGTAATTTATGTTAATGAATTTATAAAAGCGATAATTTAAATAATTCAGAAGGGTAATTTATGCTAATGAATTTACAAAAAAGTAATTTTTGTTAATGAATTCACAAAAAGATAATTTAAATAATTCGCAAATATTAATGAATTTCTAATTTACAAAAGTTAATGTATTTACAAAGAGATAATTTGTGTTAGTAAATTTATAAAAGCGATAATTTAAATAATTCAAAAGGGTAATTTATGTTAATCAATTTACAAAAAGGTAATTTAAATAATTCAAAAAAGTTAATGAATTTACAAAAAGAATTTTAAGGCAGTCTCAATTGTTCGTGAGAAGCATTCCTATCATATTTTGGTAATTGTTGCTGATGGACAGGTGACAAATGAAAAGATTAATCAAAAAGCTATTGCTGCAGCATCACGTTATCCATTATCAATTATTATGTTCGTTTATTTGTTTATTTTTTTCCAATTATTATTTCAAAAACTAAATTTTCAAAAAAAAAAAAAAAGCAAATTTTTTTTTTTTTTTTACAAATTTGAAATCTTAAATAAAATAACGAATGAATTAGACTAAAAAAAAAAAAAAAAAAATTTTTCAAATTTTTCATTTCTTCAGGGTTGGCGTTGGTGATGGACCATGGAATATGATGACCAGATTTGATGAAACATTACCGAAACGAATGTTTGATAATTTTCATTTTGTTGATTTTCATAAAGTAAGCTATTACTCATATTAAATTTACAAAAAACTCTCTTTTGTTATTCATAAAAACAAAACAAAATAAAAAAATAATTTATAACTTAAAATAAATTATAATATTTATGTTTCTTTTTTTTTTTTTTTTTTAAACAGATAAGAGGAAAAATTTGAAAATCTAAATGTTATTGTTAGTTTAATCGTTGTACTTTCAAAAATATATAATTTTTTTTCAATATTCTTAATAGAAATTTAATTTGATATAAAATTGTTGAGGCATTAAAAAATGGCAAAATGAGAAATAAGTGATTCTTCGCTTTTTTTTTTTTTGTTTTGTTTTCACAATTTTAACATTTTAAATTTAAACTTATACTTTTTCAGGTGATGTTCAATGCACCAAATCAGGAAGCATCATTTGCTCTTAATGCACTGATGGAAATACCTGATCAGTATAAAGCAATTAAGGAACTTGGCTTACTGAAGCATTCACGACGCGGCTAGATGAAAAGCAATGATAGTAACAATTTATTTCACTTATTGAAATAGTTGAAGATTGAAGTAAGTGGGATGGTATTTTTGATGTATAAAATATTATTTGCAGGAAATTCAATCAAAATTTATTGACAAAAAAAAAAAAAAAAAAGAAAAAAGAAAAGCATAGGAATTAAGCATCTAAAATATTTTGATTTAAATTTGACAATTCTATATTCAGTTCACTTTATCGTAAACACAATTTTTTTACTCTTCAATATTTTAGAAGTTTTTGAATTTCCTGAAAAAATTCAAACACTATCAAATTTTCGTAAAATTACTGACATAAACAACAATTCAAAATTCATTCTATTTGTATTTCTGTTAAATCGATTTCCTTTACGATTATTAGATCCAATTAAACTAATTGGAAAGGATGAACCATAACAATAATGTAAACAACTTCAAAACAATTATCATTAAAATTCAAACTGTTTGTCTGATCGAATCTTTGCTAATCAATGATTAGCAAAATTTTACTCATTGCTAATCTTTTATCATTTCCGATTATTGCGATATTTTATTATTTGAAATTAAACAAATATATTCCTTATTTGATTCTCTCTTTGCTGTATTATAAATTGCTGATGTGCTGAGCGCAGTGCAATACAGTTGTACCTCACCATCAGATGTAAACATTGTTCGCTTCCATCTTTTTTTTTTTGTTTATTTTCATTCATCCTAGATGTCTTTTTTTTTTCCTTTAATAATGTAATTCCTCACTTTAATATCTTCTATGAGGGCTTTCTCATTTTTTTTCTTTTCCTCTCTTTTTGGGTATGGAATGAAATGGAAGATTGCAATTTATAAACAGAATTGTGGAAAAATTTAAATGTCTCAAATTCAATTTTACTGTAAATCTATTTCATTCAATGTGTAAAAATTATTTGTAAAAAGTAAAGTGTATCAAGTACTCTTGAATGGTCACAATTTATTTCGTTACACTACTACTAACGATGAATTCATATTAATAGTATGTCACTATGAGGTAACAGCAAATATCAATCAATTCATCACTTCATATGTCACCAACAAAAGTAAACACAAAGGGAAAAAATCCTATGATACACTAGCCAGTTTATTTTTGGCTAAACAAGAAAAATATTAAACAGAATAAGGGATTTAAGAAAAGATAAAAAAAATAATGCAAAAATGGTAGATGAGATTCATCATAAACAATTCTGAAGTTATATTTAATCAATAGAGATGATCCACTAAAAAATCATCTATGCAAAAAAACAAATTTGTTGTTCAGCAAAATGTAATTCATCATGAATTCTGAATGATTGTATGAAATTGACAAACAAGATTTATTATATTCTTTCCCTGATTATTTCTTCTTACCACCTCTTTCCTTGATTAATAACTGCACTACAGCTCCAGTATTCATATTGTAATATGCTAACGTACATGCATCTTTTAAAAACAAGCCCTGAAATTGATGTCACTTTATAAAATTAAATGTAAAAAATGCTTTTTTTTTTTAAAAAAAAAAGAAAGGATAAAAATACGGCAGTTGACATAAACAGACCTTGAATTTGATGGCATTAAAGATTTTTAGATTTCATACTTCGACTATGATCTCACTATGATTAATTAGAAAACCTTACCTCATATGACAGCTTTTGTTTTGAACATGGTAACCCAGTTTCGTCTTGCACAAAACTTTTTAGAGTAGAAACCTGAAACTGCCATTTGTTTATTTGATCGTAAATTAAAAATTCATGGTTCAGACTGTTAAAAGTTCAGGAATAGAAATTAACAAAATTCTAAACATACCGGTGCAGCAATATCCATAGAAACACTTAGTCGTCGCCCGTCAAGTTTCCAGTCTGGATTAGGAGCAGTGCTAGGTATCTGGACAGTAACTGTAATTGATCCGGTGACCTAAACAAATAATACATTATTATGATTATGGTAGTTTCCTTAGTTTTCATACAAAGTTTTATATTTCTTATAATGATTTTGATTTGCATAAACAACATAAATCATACCTTTGTAAGCCACAAAGCTTCACTTTCAAGGTCATCTTCTGTTCGGGCCTTTTTGGCAGGTGGAGGTCCATCTCCAACTGGAGCATTAATAGTTGAATTTGTATCAGCTGTAGGAGTAGTTGAAGTTGCGGGCGGTGGAATGGGAGCTGTTACTGGTGCACCTGCCGGACGAACGGTAAGTGGTGTTTGTGGAATTACCGGAACTGGTATCATTGGGACTCCAATTGGTGGCTGAAAAATAATACTGAGCTATTGGAACCAAGCTTTAATAGCCTTCGAAGATAGAATCTAAAAGAGGTTAAATACGTCTGCATAAATTTGCATCAAGTAAAATTCCTTGAAAAAAAAAGTCAAAATGAGCTAACTCTCATGACAGGCATTGGCATCGGTGGCATTGGCATTGGTGCACCTGGAAAAGGTATTGCAGGGAATCTGAAATTATTTTTTGATTTATTATTTATACCATTAACATTCACTTCATTTGACCCATCAATTATTTTTCTGTTATCAATCTATTACGCGATTTATTATCTGAAGGGAAACAGCGAAACTTATGCTGCAATACTTTTACCGCCAATATTTAACAATAAAAACATAATTAACAATGATTTTGAAAAGAAAGAACAATTACAAACCCAGGTGGTGGTGGTCGGATGGGGATTTGAGGAATGACTGGTGGTCGAACAGTCTGAGCTGGTGGTACCGGAGTTGGTGCAGTTTGTGGAGGAGGTACTGGTGGACGTGGGGTAGGGACTGGCGGTTTTGGCACTACCGTAGCTGGTGCTGTTGTGCTGGCTGTAGTAGTAACGATGGGAGACGATGTTGTAATTGCCACTGCTGCCGCTACAGTCGTAATTGGTGGTGGAACTGCTTGAATTGGAGGAGGTGGTACAGCACCTGGCCCTATTCTTTCCTTACTTGGATCAGCAATATATCCATGCTGTTTATGAATTTCGTTGATCTGTTGGTCTGAAAATTTTCACATTAGTATTTACTTTTTTTCATAAAAATCTTTTTTTTCTTCTTTGAAAATACAGAATGATTAATAATTTGACAATCTAATTCTGATTTTTCAATTACGAAGATCAAATTTGTATAGGTATCCTAATTAAGATTGGTTGCTTGGAGGATTGCAGATAAAGTTCTTGACAGAATTTTCATTATGTATTGCATGTCTTTAGATATTAACAATCATTTCGATATGTTTCACCAGATTTATATAAGAAATACCTAGTGTAACGCTTTGCTGAGCTAATTTCGTTGTCTGATCGATTGTAGACTGCTGACCATCCCAAATAAGCTTCGGATCAGGACCACGTGGTGCCTCTTCTTCTTCACCCAACTGAAAATAATAAATCAGAATGTAAGCAACATAAGAAAGAAAGAGATAAAGGAAATGTTGCTTACATTTTCTTTATCCCTTTCATTTCTGAGATTATCATATACAGAGCATTCATTGATTTCTTCATTTAAACAATACCATTACAAACTCTCTAGTGATTAAATAATTTAATTTAAAATAGATCTGTTTGGCAAATCTATTTTAAATTTAGCTCACCAAATATTAGTTTATCAGAATTATGCCAATCAAAAGAAGCTATCTGCTAAACACATTAGTAATTCCTGGTTAGCAATGAACTGGGTAATGAAAAGTTCCAAAAAGATAAACTTACTTTCTTACCAATAATCGTCTGTTCAGCACCATGACCAAATATATCAGTACGACGTTCCGCAAACTTGCCAATATTTGTACTAATATCAGCACCAGGCGCATAAACTGGTTCTTCTTCATTGCGATCCGACAACTCCCTGGGGAAAAAAATGATGAGTTAGCATTGAGGATGAATTGTGAGCACATCAAAAATTATTTTTACAGAAAGTTTGTTTGTTCAAATAACCTTTCTCGTTGTTCCTTGTATTGCGAATCAACAGTGTTGTAACGCATATGCTCCTGCAATTTATCGGCAGGTATACGTTCACCAGTAAGAGGTGAAATAATCCATTTATCAGCAGCTTTTCGTGCAGCTATTGCTGAAACAATCGAATAAACACTAAAGTGAAAGATCAAATATTAAACCAGCTTACAATTTATAATTCGAAATGTCGACATAAAGCGATTAAAAAAACAAATGAACATAAGACCTAATGGAGTAATCAAATTTCGATTCTCTCATGAAAGTTATTTGGTAGATCATATAAAAGCGCCCTTTCTAGTTTCGTTTTTCGTAGATTTCTTTCATTTCTGCCTATTCACTCCTATTTTTCAAACAATTTCTGCATGTTACAGTTATAATCAACATCTTTTTTTTTTCAAATAATTTCAGCAACTTGAGCATATACAGCAGAACTTCAGTCACTCAAAAAACAAGAAATAAAAGATAAAAACAAACATTTCTTCGGATCATAATCTCTAATTACAACGGTATCTTCCGATGGTGGTGCAGGCATTGGTTGAGTCACTTCATATGGAGCTTTCTTCTCATGGTCAGCATTACCATCTTGCACTTCACCATTAAGAACCTAAACAAAGATATCAGTTGCATTCACACATAGCATTTAAATCTTTCTTAATATCTTAATTTGCTATACTTTCAATTTTATTTCGGAAATAACTTATTAATGTCTAATCTCCATGTCTAACTATTATAAACAAAGAACTAATTTTATAAAGATTTCTTGATTTTGCATGACGGACAAACCTTATCTTTTAAAATATTTTATTAGACGGTCAGCAATATAATGAATGAATGCTAAAAGAACCTACTTCATTGCGAATTTCTTGATGTTCTTCATCAGAATCTGATTCAACATCCATCTCCACTGCTTGCTCTGCAGCTGCTTTGGCTGCTGCTTCCTAAAAATATAAGATATATATGAAATCGATTCATCCAATTTATGGTTTCATTTTATGTAAACATGGTGCTTAAAAGGATAAACTACATATGTAGTTTTTAATTTATAAAAAACAAGTGACATCAAAAACTGCAGTCTGAATGAATCTAGCAATTTTTATATTATAATATTCCGTTATTGGAAAATTCGGATATTATTTATACCCGAATTTGGATAAAAAAAATCTACCTGTCGTTGCTGCATCAAAATTCTTGCGCCAACATCTTTGGGTGTGCAAAACGGTGGCAAGGTTGCTGAATTTACAAATAATGAGGACAATAATAAAGTTGTTAAACGATAAAAAACTTCGTCTTTCAATTCATTCTCTTCTGTGAATATTAAGCATAAGTCAAATGAATAAGGAACTTAAGGAGTACTGCATCAACACTTCGCAGAATTTCAAAGACGATCGTTCAATAGATAAATCAAAATACAGAAAAGTGCTAATAAACTGCAAACTATATTCACAAAATCAATGTGCTTCAGTAAGAATTTAAACCTAGTTAAGTTTCAGAAATGAAGGATGTTTTTTGTATCTTACTTTCACAAAGAACTCATGATAAGATTGCCAAACATATTTATCCAACGAGATGAAAACAATTATTAAAGTTTGTTGTTTTAATATAAAGTAAAATAAAATATCGAGAATCCTTTAAAGATTACACGAAGTATTAACGAAATTCACCTGAATCATTGATAGGGAAATCGACTGTCTGAACTACAACGAAATCATGCCAGTCGATTTGTGCATAGGCTATTCGCTCTCTCTCAATCTGTTAATAAAAAAGTATAACAAGCATTTATTAGGCCACAACAAGAACTGAAGTGAAACTCCAGGTATTCCCTTATGTAGAGGAAATTAAAAAACGTATTCCTTTCAAATATTATTAAAAAAAAAAAAAAAAAAAAAAGGATAATTACGATCAAAGAATGAAATATGAAGCATATTAACCTCAGCGTCCTCCTTCTCCTTTTGCGCTCGTTGATATTTCTCCCAACCAACTCGATATTTTACGTTTTCAAGAATCTTTTTTGTATTATCTTCCTCAGCTTTTAAATCCTCCACAATGTTTTTTGTAGGAACAATGATCTAAATACAAAAAGCATAAAAATTCGTAAAAACCATTCTTGCTTCCTTAAACTTGCTCTCATATCTTTCTTAAACTGCAAATCCAAACACTACAATTTAATACATAGACAAGGAAAACAGAAAATGATCTCAAATGTTAACTGTATTTATGCAACTACCCCAGTTGAAAGGTTTTCTGAACTAATTTATTACATTATTGAAATCAAACTAAGTAACTTAACAAATTCGTTAATTTAAAACAATTCATTCCCACCTTTGTATACTGCTCGACGAGTTTCGTAAAATAATTAAAATTTGAATGCTGCGGCTTCAAGAAATCAAACTGGTAGTTCCTCGATTCACGATTCATTAATGAAGTTAGAAACTGACGCCCATTACGTGCCACAAATAAAGCCGTTAACTTGATTAAATCCCTAAAATACTTTCGGACCATATTAGATATACCTAAGCAAACCGATTTTCTAAAAATTTTCTGCAAAATCACAACTGGACTTACAAATCAAATGCATTTATTGTAGCCGGATCAGCATCAAACTCGAACGGAGGTGGAGGATTTCGAGGTACAAATTCTGCTTGTTTCACATGTTCTTTTACCGCCTCTGGTATTTGTGGTCGCTAAATATGAAACCAGCAAGAACATTATATGGACACCAGAGTATAATTAAAAACAAATTACAAAAGAAAACAATTTGCTATCTTTTAACAAAATTTTCTGAAAAATATGCGTATTTCGTCGCACAATACTTTGCTTAAGTAATGCAGATACATAAAAATAAGTCCTGCACTTTTAATGCTAAATAACCTTTAATACTTTTTCCCTCGCCAAATTTGTCTATTTGGTTATATTATTCCACTTCAAAATGTTAAAAAACAGCAATTTCAACGCTGTAGCTTCGAACTTCAGAGTTCAAAATTTCAAATGAAATTAAAGTTTACCGGCACAGACGGTTCAGTTGTTTTCCCATCCCGAAATTCTATAACTTTGTGTTGATAGTAAGCGTTGTATGGATCTGTTGCACTCAGGAAGCTAAATCGTGGATTAGCTGCTTCCTTTTCTCGAATCTTATTTTCGAAATCAATTCCATTTCTGGCAACAAATGCTGCTGTTTTGTCGACAATTGCTAAAAGAAGAAATTTCTTTTGTTCGCTCTCCAACTGTTAGTTGTATCACCAGTTAGTTTTAGATAAGCAGAAAAATACGAAAAAATGCTTAATACATACTGCTATGAAAATACTAATATGTATTGAGCATGAAAAATACCAATACTAGTAACTCTTGACTTTATCACTAAGATAAATGAAGTGACAACATAAACCAAAAATGCAACCCACTTCTAATATCTGGTGGAGGATAAATAATGCCGATAACTTGTCGACCGCTCATCGATGGTTCAGTATTCACCGAATCTTCCTCCCGATTCGAAACCATAACAACAGGTGGCATAGGCGGCATTTTGTTGAAATCAACTTATACTGAAAATGAGCATCGATAAAACTAGCATTAAAAAATCTAAAAAAGTCGCTAATCGCCACTAATATTTAGCAAATCATCCACCTGCTACTGACTTGTTATACGCGATAACTTTGAAGTTTTAGTTAGTAACTCACAGCTTTTGGTTGATAAACAGTGAACAACTTCCGTAATCATTTACTATACTATCACACATACTTTAGTACATCTCGAATCAATTTAAATTCTTACGCTCCATAGCATATGGTTAAATTTCTAACTACTATTACTGCTTATTTCAAATAAAGATTCAAATTTTATGATTTGCAGGTTCTCATTTCCTCTCACCAACATAAAGAAAACATTTAAAAAAATATAAAAAACATTAAAAAAAAATTCTCTAAGCATATCACTATGAGAAAAAAAGCAGTTGATTATTGACATGTTTAATCATCGCTTGTCTCCAACAATTAAATGCTATTTTGGATATTTCCAAATGCTACAAATATTACTCTTAATAAACAGTGATGCTTGGTCACAAACCCTAATAGATGCTAAGACCAAAAAAGGACAGAGAAATTAGAATGTTATCAGATAAAATGATAAAATGATAACAACTGATAACACAATCAGTACATGTAAAATAGAAAGGTCAGAGAAAGTAGAATGAAAAAGTTGTCAGAGAAGGTAAAATGTTGCAAATATGTTGCATGAAACGGTCTGTGAAATTCACGTTGCAGAATACCAGTGATAGGTGAAGAGTTGAAAATTAGGATAGACTTGGGTGTGGCAGTTTTTGATAGTCGAATTTGAATTTGGAATTAAATTCAAACTAAAATTTAAGATCATTTCTCTTTTAAACTTTTTAGTCAATTAAAGTTCGAATTTCTGGAATTAATGTCATTTGGTATAGAAATAAAATAAAAAGGCTTATGATACGAGTAATTGATATTTACTGACTATAAATTTTAATTCGGATTTTAATTCGAAATGAACATGTCTTTCATGGATTACAAAAATTTCAATTAGAAATGTGCTTAAAAACTGTCGCCATGATATACTAATTGGTTAAAATTGTGAAAGTTGCTATCTGGTTATCAGACAAATAACCAAAAATCTTTTATCACCGAGAATTAAGCACTTAAAACTTAGACAATTTTCTGGGTTGAATGAAAGTTGATCTGAAATTATGTTTCGAATCGTTGAACTACTATTGAATGAAAGTTGATCTGAAATTATGTTTCGAATCGTTGAACTACTATGAATCTTTACTTCTGGTTCTGAACACGGATCGTTTAAGTCGAAACTTAATATGTCACGATGTTCCGTGAACATTATGTCAAAACATAGAGATTCACAGTCATTCTCAATCTATCTTCTTTTCCTTCTAATTAAGATTAACATTATCAATTGTGAGAATCAGTTAATTAGTCAATCGGTGAATTTTTTTTTATTAAAATTCTGGAAAATTTAAATATTTCGTATGTTTGAAATACAAGCTAAATGATACTTATGATTATACACATTCAGTTATTTTGTTTATAAAATACAATAGTGTCATGCATTTGTTTTCTGAAATCGACAAAAATCTAAGTTGATATTTGCTAGTTCAAAATTGAGGAAAATTTTAAATTAGAATCATCATAATGTCTAGAACAATTCCATATGTTGCAAAATAGGTTCTTCTCATCTCTCTTATCTCGTTTAATTTGATCTTTCTTCCTGACTTATATGTTGACTTACTTAAGTTATTTATATTAACTTCTAACAACTTCTTAAAGTTTCAGCGACATATCAATTTATAGTAATCGCTTAAAAAGTTGTATAATGATGGCTAAATTTTGATAAATGTTCTAATTCAAAAAGCTTCAAGTAAATTACTTTATCTTTATTAACAAACAAAGCAAAAAGACTTGGAAAAAGTTGGATCAATTCGATGAAGTAAATTGATCTAAATTAATCAATAAATAAGAAAGATAATTAACTTTTTTTTTATGAGTATAATATGCAAAAGTATAGCACTAAATAACTGAATCACTTTTTTTTTTCTTTCTTTCTTTTTGAATTTTTTTTTTCCTTAAAAAATAATTTTCAAAAATTTTGCACAAATTTTTTTTTTAATTTTTTCTTTTATAATTTTAGCTTAAAAATAAATTATTCATTTCGATTAACGCAATGAAAAAGACAAAAAAAAAAAAAAAAAAAAACTGAAATTTTATACTTGACCTAGTTGCAATAGGAAAGATTTAAAAAAAAAAAAAAAAAATGTAAAATAATAAGGAAGATGAAATGAAATGAAGAAATGATAGATATAAAAATAGGAAATTTGAATAACTTTTTATTCATAATTAATTTTTTCTTTAGTTCTTTTTTTTTTTTTGAATAAATTTAAAAAGTTGCTCTTTCTTTTTTTATTTCTTTCATTATTTCTATTATCTTCTTTAATCAATTATAATTTTTCTCAAAGATATATAGTCTTATTCTCCTTCTCTTAATTTATTTATTGTTGGTTAGATTCTAGAAAATTTACTTTCTCACTAGTTTATATCTCAAATCTCTTATGATCTTCTGTCTATTTCACTATTTTCTATTTTCAATAAAAATTTATCTAAGACTACTAACTTTTAATTTTACTTACTATCGATTAATATATAATTCATTATTTCATCTAATTGTAACAGATGAAATATATATATTATTTTAATTACTATTTTGAATATATATTATACTTACAATTTCAGTAATACATTTACATGCATCAAATTATTTGACAAATAAATATGATTGTATTTTGTTACCATTTCACTTTCAATTTTATTGACATAGCATTTAAAAGAAAAAATATATATCTAGTGCATAAAACTGATATGGTACATAACATTAGAAAACATTAGATCAGATCAGATCAGACCAGATCAATTTATGATCGGTAATTATTATTAAATGTAATTTCCACATTCTAGAAAGTATTTAGATTATTCAGTTAGCTATTCTACTATTACTAGAATTCCCTGCCTCTCCCTCTCTCTCTCTCTCTCTTTCTCTCTCTGTGTTCGTATCGTTTTTTATAAAATTATCATTTCAGCATCATTTCACTCAGTTGTACGAGACGAAAATGTTAGGTGGATAAATAAGTAAGTATATAAATACATACACATATATATTATTGGTATGTACATAAAGTGGTAAAAGGAAGCCATCATTTCCGGTTAAAAAAAATGGAGCTTAACCGGAAACGGATAGCTTTATATCGTTTTTAGTTATTTACATCAATTTTAGCACCAGAAATTGATATAGCTGATTGATTATTTTATTTATGTATTAAATTCTTCATATCAGCCAATAACTAACTATAGTGACTTAATAAACAATAGAGTTTAACTGGAAACGGAATAACGTATAAGGTTATTTTATTCAAAACAAAATTCTCATTTTAAATTCACTCGTTTAATTAATTATAGCATATTAAATTTAGACTAATATGAAATTCAATTAGTTTTAGTTTTTCTGTCTTTTTTTTTATTTTTCAATCAAATTAATAAATCATTTTGTCATTTTTAAAAGTTCAACATTAAAAAATAAATTCTGACTAACATGGCATTATAAATGGAAAGATTAAAAAATGAATGATATGTAAGAGTAGCTTTGTTATTTATTTTAGATAAAAATTAAAATTTCAAATTTTTAGGACTTTATAAAATATTACATTAAAAATAAAATGTCACCATTTTTTTTCAATTATTCTTGTATAACATACAAATATTTTTGCTTATTATCCAATATTGTCTTCTTTCTTCCTTTGATACTGCTAAATTTTATTATCATACTTTCAAAATATTTTTAATAAAGCTTTAAAATAAAGTCTAAAAAAGGTACCAATAGGAAATGAATTCAAAAAAAAAAAAAAAAAATGAAAGAGTTGAAGGCTATTAACATAATAATTTGATCTTGAATGTAAGAATATATGAAATAATAAAGTTACTAAGAATTTATTATTATAAATAATCGATTAAATACATTGGCATTTTCATCTTTTCCACCTGAATAATTAAGATATCAAGAATTAAACTAGAAATTTCATTATATTCTTTTTTGCTTATTTTCATTTTATCTTTCTTATATTATTTATTACTTCGTTTTCCGTACCATTTTGATTACTTTTTGCTTTTTACTTTTTTTTTTTAACTTTTTATTATTACTTTTTATTTTTATTTTAGATGAAAATATTTTTACTGGCACCTTTTTTTTTATTTTTAAATATGTTTTAATAATATTAAAATTTGATAAATCATTGGTAGCGGATATTACCAAATGTTTTTTTTGTTTTTGTGTGTGTATGTATGTGTGTGTATGTTTGTATGTGCGTGTATGTATGTGTGTATGTTTGTATGTATGTGAATATTTTAATTCATTCGATATTGACTACAAATCTTTCAGATATGTTTTATCAATATGTTATTCAATTCCTTTTTCGTTTTCTTTTTTCTCTTTCCCTTTCTCTGTCTCCCTCTCCCTCTCTCTCTCCCTCTCTCTCTCTCTCTCTCTTTACTCCTTCTTTTTCCACTTTCATTCAATCATTTCTATTAGATCTTAAAAGATTCTCATATAGTTTCTCTTTTATAATTAAAAATGAAATATTTGATTGATAATACAATCTACTGTTTATCATTTTATCACAGTTTATTTAAATTTCTTTTTAAACAGTTTCAAGAAGAAGAAAAAATAGCTTAAAATGATAAGGATGATGATAATGGAATCGCTGCAATTTAATTCTAGTTCAAATTTTGATTTCAATTTTATTTTTTATAATTTTACTATATCTTTAAAATCATTTCATTTAAAAAAAAAAAAAAGAAATTTCGATAGTAATAGCAATAACAATAATAATAATAATAATAATAATAATAATAATAATAATAATAATAATAATAATAATAATAATAATAAAAAAAAAAAAAAAAAAAAAAAAAAAATAATAATAATAAAAAATAATAATAATAATA